CCCTACTTTGCACACATTTCCTTCCGGGCAAGCTGTGGCTCATCTTCAAGCTGCAGGTGGATTATGGAGCCCCGGGCCTTTTCAACTCTTAAGTCTTGATTCTTAGGGGAGCATTCGTCCCAAGAAGCGCACGGTTTGGCATGTATCCCAGGAGCCCTGTCAAACTGGTATGGCTCTGGGCAAATTGAATCACGACCTCACTTGTCGGCGTATGGGGTTTAGTCTGAAGGTTCTTTTCTTGGTTGGTGGATGTTGTCCCAGTAGAACGGGACCCCTTTGGATGTTGTACCAGGAAACCACCAGAAATCCAAGCCTCTTCAAAGGCCGAGCGTGCTCACAGGGGGTGGCACGCACGCAACCCACACACACACACACAGCGTGCCTTGGGCCGGGAAAAGCTGCATTTTCTTGACAACGGACGCGCCCGTGCAAGTGCGGCAATGTCGCAGCAACTCACCTTCGACACGCCTCCCCGTTCTATGAAACTGGGGCAACGAAGACAAACAACTCAGAGGGACTCAGCACAATAAGCTCAAAGATCTTCACCCGGGTAACTCCTAACAAGTCGCGGCGTGTGACGCGCTCGCCACACACCAAACCGACTGTTGACCAGTTCCGTTTGCATCAGTTAAGCTTCCTGCCACGCCAGCTGTGCGAATGAGGAGTGCCAGCAAGCCATCCGAGTCCACTCGCCCCCTTCCGTCTTGGGTCTTTCACCCGTTCTTTGGTACATAGACTTTAACTTGTTGCAAGTGGAGTCTCTATCCGACTATTGTCCTCTCGGGTGGGTCAAGATTGCTTACAAGGACACTCTGGCCTCTTTGATTGGGCGCCAAGTGCTTTTTACATGTCTAGCAGTCGGAATATTTGGTTCAGATCGGTGGACCCCCTGGTTCTCGTTGAAGCCAAATGGCAAGGTCCGTTAGCCTCCGGTCGAAACCCGGAGATTCGAATCGAAACATACGCTGAGGTCATTCAGCACATGGTGGAGGCAGCCAAGCGCAAGCGCGTTGAGGCAGAAGGCCCGGAAGGGAACCGGCCCATTTTTGGTGCCAGCGGAAGGGAATGGCTACCATGAACAGATGCTTTCGGGCGGGTTGGTGGTGGAAGTTTTTCAACCGTGCTTCGCGAGGGAACATCTGGCTGGCTCTGAAATGTGGCAAAGGAGCAGGAAATGGATGGGAGGTCACTGGGCCAAAAAAGTTACCAATGCAAATAACATTGAAAAGGGGGTAGATTCCGACAAGTTTCTGCCTTCAACAGGCGTCTGACCTTCATGTCAGGAGCGCGTTTTGAGGGGTGGCCCGACAACTTTAATCCTCTAGTAGTTCTTGCTGGAGGAAAAACATGTGAGTCGTAGGAGTTGCGTCGAACTTTGGCTCACTTGGGGTTCAAAAGAAACGCGGTCCCCACAAAGTTTCATTTCTGTGAATTCCGATTTGCGAGTTCTATTATATCGGCTCGTGCCGATAGAACACACGCAACCTCTGCTTGGGACAGCGCCAAGTTTCGCAAAGGCATGGCCAAGGGAAGCAGAAGGTTTGACCATGGCCGGATTTTTGGCGAATCAGAGGCCGGAAGGTAGGAAGCATAGGGCTGAGGTTGTTGGTTGTTGGTTGTTAGCTGCTGGTTCTTGGTTGCGCTTGTTGTTTGCTGGGCCCACTACTTGAGTGAGAGACAATTCTAGTTTTCAAAAGACGCTATCCGGGCAGCCGCGGGTCGGATGAAGAAGCGCAATCCGTGCGGCAGCGTGGGACGGTCAATAAGCGCACACTTGTAGATTTATAATAACCAAACGCTTGGCGTCCAAAATTGATACTGCGAACCTGCGTCAAAATTGATACTGCGAACCTGTGTAGGTCCTCACCGTGTAGGATTGTAGGGGGAAAGGGCTGTAGTCGTTTGGAACTTCAAGAAGCACAACTTTTGTCTGGCCAGTGTAGCTTGAACCTTCATAGCTTACTTATTCTCAGTATTCAGATATGGAGATGACTCTGCCAACCATAGATCCTTTCGGGGAATGGCTGGCGGGGTTAGTTCTTCAACCCTGTTCCCTCGTGAGAACAAGGCAAAAAAGGATCTTGAAGGAGTGGGCTTCTTTCACGGTGGCTCCCTTATTTCAGGCTGAATCTTTGTGATTCGCACAGATGCTGGGCGATTCTTTTTGTCCTCTTTTACCTGATTTTGCACGCCCTTTGTGCAGCACGGCTTTGTTTTCGGATCCTCCCCGGTGCGTTCGTAGCCCATGTTGCGTCCTTGCGCAAGCCCGGCTTCAGGGCCCAGCAAGCCAGCGCCCGGCAGCCGAGCAAAACCCAGAGGCACGTGATGGGAACCTGACAAAATCAACACTTTACTGCATGTTGCTTGGATGTTAGGACTTTAACTTTTTGCCAACTAATGGGTTTTCCATTAAACCACTAAAAGTCAAGCTTTTAGCAGGGGAGCAGAAAGCAACCAAGAAAACAAGATGGGAAAACCACCAGTTGAACGCTTTTTGTTGGGGGGGGGGTTCTTTGTAGGGGGCGGGATTTCATTGTTGCAATGCCAAGGTTTGAACGAATTTGAAAGAAAGGCGAAGGTATAACCATGCTTGTTTTGGACTTCATGCCTGAATTGTTGCCAAGCAGCTTTAGTCATGGCTCTAGTCCACTGATTTGTTGAATTTGGAATCCCCTGCAAAAGACACATTCTAAGCAAAGTGGCGATTCCTACAGAGTTGCACGTGCTTGTTTCTTTGTCCAAACAACAACCAGGCCGCCAGTCACAACCAGCCAGTTGCGGCTGTTTTGGGATGTTGCAGGTGGCAGGGCGATGGTGCCACTTGTACTTGGGCTGGGCTTGACATCAGATTTCATCCCTCAATTTCAACAAACTGGCATGATTCACACGACACTTCGTTCTAGCTTGCTTCCATGAGGTGCCAGGCAGTTTGTATTGGAATCCAAAAACGACGCCAACTAGTCTTTGCGACCTCTGGTAGGAAAGATCCACGCAGATCCTGGGACCGTTGCCTACCCGCATGCTGCTTAGTTCAAAAGGAGCAGCGCCCAAAAGCCCCATTGGCCACTTGAGAGCAAGTTCTACTACCTGAGGCTTGTCGTAAGGCCTATATAAACATTTCAGATGGGTTTTGGGCGTTGCTCACATGGTTTTCGCCTTCTTCCCTACTTTCACGTTTCGGACAGACTGTTTTCGTTTGTTGACCCAGCCTTTTTTCCGCTCCGGCCAGTCTTCCGACGCGAGCAACCATATAGTCTTCAGGGCCCTCTGGGCCACAAAGGAAGAAGGGGTCAGATAATATTCGTAAATCCAGAACACAACTACACAGGTATCTGCAATAGACGAAGCCAAGAAACATAGTAAATAAATCAACGGAGCTGAGCAAGCAGACGGTTCGGGGTACAAACCAAGTCGCTTGATCTGGTTTCAGCCCCAGGCCTAAGGCGCCGACTCCCGTGGCAGAGGGCTCGCCTTGGCTGGCCGGGGATGCCAAGAAAAAGGGGGGGAGCCTTAGTGCCCACCTCGGAGCCTTAGTGCCCCACCACCTCCCGAACTCAGTGTGGACTCTTTTGGGTACTTTTTAACAAGCTCCCCAATTTACCATGTTCTTACAGAAAAAAAGCATGTGGACAATTTTTAACAAGAGAACAAAGAGGACTGAGGACACAGTTCAGTGTTTTGATCTGTGTTTGGTCCCGGCCTCCCCGTTTGCATCGCCGAGATGCCACGGCTGACTGATTGAATGAGCAGCAATACCCCAGAAACAATGTGTGCCAGGCACAAGACATGCTCTCAATACAATTGCGCATGTGTTTCTTCAGGGACACTTCTGTAAGGGAAACGAGACAATTGGTGGCAAAGACTGTTACCTTTTAAGCAGAACTATAACATTGATGCAGTTGCATCTCTCGCTTGCATCACAGTGACGGTGGACAGGCTGAAACAAGGACTGTCAAGAGAAGAGCAGGTTGGTCTGGGCTTTGGATGTGGAAAAGCAACTAGAAGCACTGGGGTTTGTTCTCAGGTGCCAGAAAGGCAAGGGGGCCTTACCACCGCTGCGAAGGCTGTTGATAGACTTCTGGGCGATCGCGCCCTTCTGACAGGAGTTTGTGACAGATGAAAGGAGGTTTAAGAGGCAGGTGTTTGCAAGGTCTGCAGAGATTGTGCAGTTTAGTGAGTCAAGTGTGGGCGCGGCTTGGTTTGTTTGGATTGTTGGCACAGGTTGGTGGCCGAAAACTGAAATAAGACCTGGCCGGCAGAGAAAAGGTTGGTTTGAGCTTTGAATTTGGAGGAGCACCTGCTTTCAACCCCAGCGTGGTCTAAGAAGCACTGGGGTTTGTTCTCAGGTGCCAGACAGGCTAGGGGGCCTTACCACCGCTGCGGAGGCTGTTGATAGCCTTCTGGGCGATCGTGCCCTTCTGACAGGTGTTTGTGACAGGTGGAAGGAGGTTTAAGTGGCTTGCAAGGTGTCTGAAGGTCTGCAGAGATGGTGCAGTTTGGTTGGCACAGGTTGGTGGCCGAAAACTGAAATAGGATCTGGACGGCAGAGAAAAGGTTGGTTTGAGCTTTGAATTTGGAGGAGCACCTGCTTTCAACCCCAGCGTGGTTTAAGAAGCACTGGGGTTTGTTCTCAGGTGCCAGACCGGCTAGGGGGCCTTACCACCGCTGCGGAGGCTGTTGATAGCCTTCTGGGCGATCGTGCCCTTCTGACAGGAGTTTGTGACAGGTGGAAGGAGGTTTAAGTGGCTTGCAAGGTGCCTGAAGGTCTGCAGAGATGGTGCAGTTTAGTGAGTCAAGTCGTTTCTTTTTGGATGGTTGGCACAGGTTGGTGGCCGAAAACTAAAAAACGACCTGGCCGGCAGAGAAAAGGTTGGTTTGAGCTTTGATTTTGGAGGAGCACCTGCTTTCAACCCCAGCGTGGTTTAAGAAGCGCTGGGGTTTGTTCTCAGGTGCCAGAAAGGCTAGGGGGCCTTACCACCGCTGCGGAGGCTGTTGATAGCTTTCTGGGCGATCGCGCCCTTCTGACAGGAGTTTGTGACAGATGAAAGGAGGTTTAAGAGGTAGGTGTTTGCAAGGTCTGCAGAGATTGTGCAGTTTAGTGAGTCAAGTGTGGGCGCGGCTTGGTTTGTTTGGATTGTTGGCACAGGTTGGTGGCCGAAAACTGAAATAAGACCTGGCCGGCAGAGAAAAGGTTGGTTTGAGCTTTGAATTTGGAGGAGCACCTGCTTTCAACCCCAGCGTGGTCTAAGAAGCACTGGGGTTTGTTCTCAGGTGCCAGACAGGCTAGGGGGCCTTACCACCGCTGCGGAGGCTGTTGATAGCCTTCTGGGCGATCGTGCCCTTCTGACAGGTGTTTGTGACAGGTGGAAGGAGGTTTAAGTGGCTTGCAAGGTGTCTGAAGGTCTGCAGAGATGGTGCAGTTTGGTTGGCACAGGTTGGTGGCCGAAAACTGAAATAGGATCTGGAAGGCAGAGAAAAGGTTGGTTTGAGCTTTGAATTTGGAGGAGCACCTGTTTTTGAACCCCAGCGTGGTTTAAGAAGCACTGGGGTTTGTTCTCAGGTGCCAGACCGGCTAGGGGGCCTTACCACCGCTGCGGAGGCCCTTCTGACAGGAGTTTGTGACAGGTGGAAGGAGGTTTAAGTGGCTTGCAAGGTGCCTGAAGGTCTGCAGAGATGGTGCAGTTTAGTGAGTCAAGTCGGTTTTTTTTGGATGGTTGGCACAGGTTGGTGGCCGAAAACTGAAAAACAACCTGGCTGGCAGAGAAAAGGTTGGTTTGAGCTTTGATTTTGGAGGAGCACCTGCTTTCAACCCCAGCGTGGTTTAAGAAGCGCTGGGGTTTGTTCTCAGGTGCCAGGAAGGCTAGGGGGCCTTACCACCGCTGCGGAGGCTGTTGATAGCTTTCTGGGCGATCGCGCCCGTCTGACAGGAGTTTGTGACAGATGAAAGGAGGTTTAAGAGGTAGGTGTTTGCAAGGTCTGCAGAGATTGTGCAGTTTAGTGAGTCAAGTGTGGGCGCGGCTTGGTTTGTTTGGATTGTTGGCACAGGTTGGTGGCCGAAAACTGAAATAAGACATGGCCGGCAGAGAAAAGGTTGGTTTGAGCTTTGAATTTGGAGGAGCACCTGCTTTCAACCCCAGCGTGGTCTAAGAAGCACTGGGGTTTGAGCATTGATTTTGGAGAAGCACCTGCTTTCAACCCCAGCGTGGTTTAAGAAGCACTGGGGTTTGTTCTCAGGTGCCAGACAGGCTAGGGGGCCTTACCACCGCTGCGGAGGCTGTTGATAGCTTTCTGGGCGATCGTGCCCTTCTGACAGGAGTTTGTGACAGATGGAAGGAGGTTTAAGAGGTAGGCGTTTTCAAGGTCTGCAGAGATTGTGCTGTTTAGCGAGTCAAGTCTGGGCCAGGCTTGGGTTGGTTGGACGGTTTGCACAGGTTGGTGGCCGAAAACTGAAATAAGACCTGGCCAGCAGAGAAAAGGTTGGTTTGAGCTTTGAATTTGGAGGAGCACCTGCTTTCAACCCCAGTGTGGTTTCAGAAGCACTGGGGTTTGTTCTCAGGTGCCAGACAGGCTAGGGGGCCTTACCACCGCTGCGGAGGCTGTTGATAGCCTTCTGAGCGATCGTGCCCTTCTGACAGGAGTTTGTGACAGATGGAAGGAGGTTCAAGAGGCTTGAAAGGTGTTTGCGAGGTCTGCAGAGATTGTGCGGTTAAGCGAGTCAAGTCTGGGCGAGGCTTGGTTTGCTTGAATGGTTGACACAGGTCGGTGGCCGAAAGCTGAAATAAGACGTGGCCGGCAGAGAAAAAGCTGGCCTGAGCTTTGAACTTGGAGGAGCATCTGCTTTCAACTTCAGCTTGCCTTAAGAAGCGCTGGGGTTTGTTCTCAGGTGCCAGAAAGGCTAGGGGGCCTTACCACCGCTGCGGAGGCTGTTGATAGCCTTCTGGGCGATCGTGCCCTTCTGACAGGAGTTTGTGACAGATGGAGGGGGGTTCAAGAGGCTTGCAAGGTGTCTGGAGGTCTGCAGAGATTGTGCTGTTTAGCGAGTCAAGTCTGGGCGGGGCTTGGATGGTTGGCACAGGTTGGTGGCCGAAAACTGAAATAAGACCTGGCCGGCAGAGAAAAGGTTGGTTTGAGCATTGATTTTGGAGGAGCACCTGCTTTCAACCCCAGCGTGGTTTAAGAAGCGCTGGGGTTTGTTCTCAGGTGCCAGACAGGCTAGGGGGCCTTACCACCGCTGCGGAGGCTGTTGATAGCTTTCTGGGCGATCGCGCCCTTCTGACAGGAGTTTGTGACAGATGGAAGGAGGTTTAAGAGGCTTGCAAGGTGTTTGCGAGGTCTGCAGAGATTGTGCGGTTAAGCGAGTCAAGTCTGGGCGAGGCTTGGTTTGCTTGAATGGTTGACACAGGTCGGTGGCCGAAAGCTGAAATAAGACCTGGCCGGCAGAGAAAAGGTTGGTTTGAGCTTTGATTTTGGAGGAGCACCTGCTTTCAACCCCAGCGTGGTTTAAGAAGCACTGGGGTTTGTTCTCAGGTGCCAGAAAGGCTTGGGGGCCTTACCACCGCTGCGGAGGCTGTTGATAGCCTTCTGAGCGATCGTGCCCTTCTGACAGGAGTTTGTGACAGATGGAGGGGGTTCAAGAGGCTTGCAAGGTGTCTGGAGGTCTGCAGAGATTGTGCTGTTTAGCGAGTCAAGTCTGGGCGAGGCTTGGTTTGGTTGGTGGCCGAAAACTGACATAAGACCTGGCCGGCAGAGAAAAGGTTGGTTTGAGCATTGATTTTGGAGGAGCACCTGCTTTCAACCCCAGCGTGGTTTAAAAAGCACTGGGGTTTGTTCTCAGGTGCCAGAAAGGCTTGGGGGCCTTACCACCGCTGCGGAGGCTGTTGATAGCTTTCTGGGCGATCGTGCCCTTCTGACAGGAGTTTGTGACAGATGGAGGGAGGTTTAAGAGGTTTGCAAGGTGTTCGGGAGGTCTTCAGAGATTGTGCTGTTTAGCGAGTCAAGTCTGGGCGGGGCTTGGATGGTTGGCACAGGTTGGTGGCCGAAAACTGAAATAAGACCTGCCCGGCAGAGAAAAGGTTGGTTTGAGCTTTGATTTTGGAGGAGCACCTGCTTTCAACCCCAGCGTGGTTTAAGAAGCGCTGGGGTTTGTTCTCAGGTGCCAGAAAGGCTAGGGGGCCTTACCACCGCTGCGGAGGCTGTTGATAGCTTTCTGGGCGATCATGCCCTTCTGACAGGAGCTTGTGACAGATGAGAGGAGGTTTAAGAGGTAGGTGTTTGCAAGGTCTGCAGAGATTGTGCAGTTTAGTGACTCAAGTCTGGGCGGGGCTTGGTTTTTTTGGATGGTTGGCACAGGTTGGTGGCCGAAAACTGAAATAGGACCTGGACGGCAGAGAAAAGGTTGGTTTGAGCTTTGATTTTGGAGGAGCACCTGCTTTCAACCCCAGCGTGGTTTAAGAAGCGCTGGGGTTTGTTCTCAGGTGCCAGAAAGGCTTGGGGGCCTTACCACCGCTGCGGAGGCTGTTGATAGCCTTCTGGGCGATCGTGCCCTTCTGACAGGAGTTTGTGACAGATGGAGGGGGGTTCAAGAGGCTTGCAAGGTGTCTGGAGGTCTGCAGAGATTGTGCTGTTTAGCGAGTCAAGTCTGGGCGGGGCTTGGATGGTTGGCACAGGTTGGTGGCCGAAAACTGAAATAAGACCTGGCCGGCAGAGAAAAGGTTGGTTTGAGCATTGATTTTGGAGGAGCACCTGCTTTCAACCCCAGCGTGGTTTAAAAAGCACTGGGGCTCAGGTGCCAGAAAGGCTTGGGGGCCTTACCACCGCTGCGGAGGCTGTTGATAGCTTTCTGGGCGATCGTGCCCTTCTGACAGGAGTTTGTGACAGATGGAGGGAGGTTTAAGAGGTTTGCAAGGTGTTCGGGAGGTCTTCAGAGATTGTGCTGTTTAGCGAGTCAAGTCTGGGCGGGGCTTGGATGGTTGGCACAGGTTGGTGGCCGAAAACTGAAATAAGACCTGCCCGGCAGAGAAAAGGTTGGTTTGAGCTTTGATTTTGGAGGAGCACCTGCTTTCAACCCCAGCGTGGTTTAAGAAGCGCTGGGGTTTGTTCTCAGGTGCCAGAAAGGCTAGGGGGCCTTACCACCGCTGCGGAGGCTGTTGATAGCTTTCTGGGCGATCGCGCCCTTCTGACAGGAGTTTGTGACAGATGAGAGGAGGTTTAAGAGGTAGGTGTTTGCAAGGTCTGCAGAGATTGTGCAGTTTAGTGAGTCAAGTCTGGGCGGGGCTTGGTTTTTTTGGACGGTTGGCACAGGTTGGTGGCCGAAAACTGAAATAGGACCTGGACGGCAGAGAAAAGGTTGGTTTGAGCTTTGATTTTGGAGGAGCACCTGCTTTCAACCCCAGCGTGGTTTAAGAAGCGCTGGGGTTTGTTCTCAGGTGCCAGAAAGGCTTGGGGGCCTTACCACCGCTGCGGAGGCTGTTGATAGCTTTCTGGGCGATCGTGCCCTTCTGACAGGAGTTTGTGACAGATGGAGGGAGGTTTAAGAGGTAGGTGTTTTCAAGGTGTGCAGAGTGCAGTTTAGTGAGTCAAGTCTGGGCGCGGCTTGTTTGTTTGGATGGTTGGCAGAGGTTGGTGGCCGAAAACTGAAGGTTGACCTGGCCGGCAGAGAAAAGGTTGGTCTGAGCTTTGGATTTGGAGGAGCACCTGCTTTCAACTCCAGTGTGGTTTAAGAAGCACTGGGGTTTGTTCTCAGGTGCCAAAAAGGCTTGGGGGCCTTACCACCGCTGCGAGTTTGTGATAGGTGGAAGGAGGTGTAAGAGGTTTGCAAGGTGTCTGCGAGGTCTGCACAAATTGCGAAGATTCATGAGTTCAGTTTGGATGCAATGGCTGGAGGCTGGAACATGGTCTGGTTGTAGAATGGTCCAGCCATGTTGGATTAAGGGGAGTTCAGAATGTACGTTGACTGCTGGAGCATGCCAGAGGTCTCATTCCAGCCAAGTTGGCTGTTGAACCTCAAATTATCGGCCATTGCATGTGGATGTCAGGGTGAGGCAGGTCTTCCTCAGTGGCCATGTGTTGACAGCTCGGGGCACTAAGCATCAACGGCGATGGCAACAGTAGTGACAGCAGCAACAGGGTACTCTCCGAATGAGTAACGTAGCCCCCCAATCTTCCCATGTGTACATATTGTCCCAGTTTTGCAGGTTCATCTTAATTGTCCGGGAACAAGGAATATGGGAGTATGGCCACGCTATACATGTACAGTTTGATATGTGTATATATGTATATATATATATATCCAGAATAATACACATACATGAATGCCAGTGTAAATAAGATGGGATTGTTGCAGTGCGTTTTTCGAATGAATGAGTGCGGGCTGTGCAATCAAGAGTCGAAATCGAAGGCAAGCGAAACTGCCTACCTGCGAGCAGTCAGCTCTTGCGGAGTGATTTGAAGCTCAAGATTGCAGCCTTTTTTGCAAGCCATGTTTATTCTGACTGCCCTCCCTGATTGCCTGTGGCTGCTGTTCCCGCCCAAAAGGTGTTGTTTTCTCACGCGGTCGCGCGTGGTGTGAGGATGGCTTCTGTGGACAACCCAATGTCGTCCCACATCAGGCTGCACAAACGTGCAAGTCATGTTAACCTCTTCGATGCTGGCGTGCGGTTTTTGAGCTTGAAAGTGGCGGCGGCCCCAGAATGCTGCTTGAGAGATGACTGCATCCTCCTTGTCTGAAAGTGACGGAATGTAACTCTCTGATCGCGGCTGCAGAAGCCTTTTGCAACAATATATACATAAACATATGGCAATTCCTTCAATATTACTGCTTTCCTCAAGATGGCCACGCAACCCCACTGAGTCTTGCCCGAGGTGTGCACGGACCCAAAGAGCGGAGCCATGTGACCGGGGATCGGTCTTTGTCGAGAGGGAGGGCTGGGGGGCGTTTGACAGGCCAGGAGTTCAGGCAAGAGGTAGCTGACTTTGATTGGGTTCAGGAGTTTCCAGCCACGATGTCTGAAGTGGAATCAAGGAGAGTTTGTCAATCAATTCAGGAGTTGAACTCAGGAGGTTGAATTTTGAAAGAGGTGACCTGGTCCTGATTTTTTTTTGCCGAAATGGCTTGAAACTGACCATATCTCCACTTCCAAGACGAGCAGTGTTGGGGGCAGCAAGCCCCTGGGTTGGAGTCAAACGGGGGCTCCATCAGTGGGTTTCGTTTTGCCACGTTGGGGTTGCGATGGGAGACGTTGCCAAGGAGTCCTTTTCATTGACGTTGGTTACCTTCGAAAATATAATTGTAGTTGCAACAATATTGCAACAATATCTACGATTATATGATGTTTCTTTGAGCCATGAACAAGCTAAACACATCTCTGTATAGAATGTTTCGAAGCTTGTCTCACGAGGCTCATGAGAGTCCTTTTTGCAAGGGTACGCATCATACTTACAACAATTCCTTTTCCTTCTTATTTGTTTTAGCGGCACTGTCTGTCACTTCGATTTCTTACCCAGTTCTACGTCCTGGTGGGAAGGTCATTGGGTGTCCGAGCGAGTTACAAAGACGCGGCCAGACGACCTGTCGTGTTTTAAAATAAGTTCAAGGCGTGGTTGGATCCCCCAATCCTATGCGAGACTCAGCAAATTGGTTTTCAGAAGTCACTGAAGGCTGGGGGATTTCTAGATTTGAAGGTAATATTCTTGGGTTCCAACGGACTTTCAGGCGGGAATCTTTGCATGTCCCCCGACTTTTTCGGAGTTTTGACAGTGTGACTTTCGTGAACCCAATAGTTTGACTTGTTCAGATTCGTTTGGATTCGTTCCATTCTTGAACATGAGACGTGAACATTTGGCCGCCCAAAGAAAGTGGTGTTGAGTCGCATGCTGTTTTTCCAAGTGTTTCCTCGTCGCGTTCTTGCTTGGATTGCGGGCTACAATGTGGGATTCCTTTTTGCCTGGGCTGCCAGAGAAATGCCGCCTTTTGCTCAACTGATGGCGTTGCTCCCTTTCGGGGGATTAACCCCCGAATTCCATCCCCCGATCCTTGGAAACGAGGAGACGCCGCAGCAAAAAAGTTTTGCGCGGGCCCGCCGCAGCTTCCAGTTCTCGTCCCTTTGCGGGGAGCGGGGGAGCGAGGTACTACTACAACAAGGACACCAAAGTTTCGGCTTGGGAGAGGCCGGTGGCGGCGGGGGAATGGGATTCTCGGTTTTTGACCCTTGGATGGACGGTGGGAGTTGGAATCTGGGTTCTTGTAGAGTGTGTCAATGGGGGAACTTCCCCCCAAACCTCTTACAGGGAAGCTGAAAGGAGATGCTTCCTCAATAATTTTTGACTAGCCTGGCAACAAGGCACTCTAAACCCGATTTTGTCTCAAGATGGGGCATCCTCCAAATTGGCTGCTTTGCCCTTGGTTTGGACATGGAGGAGAGAAGGGGAGTCGACAAAATTGGGGTCCCAAACTTGGGTGCTCTTCTGTTGAACACACTGACACTCGTTGTTCGTCTGTTTGAGAAACAGCCTTAGGCCGTAAATGTGGGAAAACAGGCAGGGGTTCCCTTCTGGCCATTTCTGCTGTCCTTTGGCCGTGGCAGGCCTTGCCCAGTTGGTTGCTTAACCATGGTTGGTGTTTGGTGGGACTTGAAACTGTGCTCTCATGAGACCTCCCACAACAGTCCAAATTCAAGGGATTCCAATTGCTTGCATCGCAAAGGCAACATGTGTTGCTTCCTCCCACATATCAAACGTATGTCTAGATGGATTTTGGTCGTAGGTGTTGCAGGAGCCGCTTGGAAGACTGCCTTTTGGGACCTCCCGACTGAAAAGGGGATAGGACCCATATCCCTTCCTTTTTTCGAACCCCCTCTTCAGGTAACAGTAAGCGGAGCCAAGAACCTCCCCTGGCATCTTTCTGCCAAACCACGACCGGCCCCTTTTCACCTGGAACCTGAGACGGGTCTTGGGCCATGTTCCTTTTCCAACTCACATGGAGCCTGATGTCAGCATTGCCAATTCATGATTTGGTTTTGCTTGTGCATTTGGGCCCCATATGTTTGTTTCGGGGGGTTTGGGCCCGTTTTTTCCCCCCAGAGCCCGGGCCCCCGTCGGTCAGAGCCTCCAGGCCGGCGCCTGCGGCGCCGGACCCCTCCAACGCGCCGCCCCCGCCGGCGAAGGCGCCGCCGCCGCCGGCGCGGGCCCTTGGATGGGGATGGTGCAGGCGTCGGGGTCAGAAACCAAATGGGGCTGCGGGTAGCTGTGTTAGGGTCATTGCATCTCTACGTACAAAATGATGTATGTATGATTATGTAGTTTCATATGTCATTCTTACTGTATTCTTCTTCTTCTTCTTCTTCTTCTTCTTCTTCTTAACTATTATTGTTTCACACAGAAGTCCCGATGCGTAGGCTCCATACACAGACCTTTGGAACCTGCGGTGGCAGCTACAGGCCTAAGCGGTTCAACAACACCCTGCAGCAGTCACTGAATTCGATCTAGCTGCGCTTAGTTTTTTTCTTCTTGTTTTCTGGCACTAGTGTGTGGCCGTGTGACTCACAAAAGGATGGCACGTAGCGGGGTCGGCATTGTGTTGCTTTGTGGCAGTTCGACTCGCACACGCTGCTTGCAATGCTGCAACAGCTTTGTGCATTGTATTGGTTTCTTGCACTGCACTTCGACACACGCCGGCGGGAAGCGGGGTCGGTGCACCTGCCAAAGCCTTAAGGGTTCCTGCGCGCACAGATCTGGCCTAGGTTTGCTCATTTCAAGAAGGCGAACCAGAGTGGCCTCAGCACGATAGCTTGCAGGGCCACCTGGACGGCGCTCGTTTGCTTGGCACATGTGACGCTGACACCACTTCTCAAGTCTTCCACGGGTTGCGGCATCGGCGCGATTGCCGGCTTTTTCGACGACGTTGTCCTCTACGGTGGAGGGCGATGTGCCAAAGTCCGACAGAGTGATTTCAACGTTCCAATGGAGAAAGGTCGCCGGGTGTTGCAAGGTTTTGTTCACGCTGTGTCAGCAGACATGGTGCGAGGCTGCAGCTTAGCATCAATGCACGGGACGCTGACAAGACTTTGCGTGATGACGATGCCGGTGCTGCTTCCTTGGCTAGGCTCGAGCGGCCGCGCCCTGAACCCACATGCCTTGCACGCACCTGAGCTGTTAGTGCCTCCCACGCGTGTCATTGCCTGCTTGGTCGTTTGCCGCGCACTGCTGCCCCTTGCTCCCGACGCGGATGGCAACGTGGACGCTTTTCTGTGCGAGAAACCTGCCGACGAGGTAGATCCTATGCAAGAAGCTGCTCAGCAGTTGGAGGCGGCAATTCTCGGCCTCATGCGGGAGCCTTTGACGTGGCGAGGGCCGCAAGTGTGAGCAAGGGCATGGTGACCAAGTTTTTGAATGCAGCCGCCCAAGGGCAGGTGGTCCGGCACACTGGGCTGGAACAAGGCCCCCGGTCGTATGGAGGAAACTTTGCCAACCAGGTCCGGCTGCAGCTCATTTTGATTTTGCGAGACTCCAGCTTTTGATACTTGTGCTCTGTTGCTGTATAAACTTGCACTTACACGCAACCAAATAGCAAAGGAAGTGTTCTTGCTGACTTGCAGGCGTAGGCCGGCAGAGATGCGCTAGATTTGGCTGGTGGCTGGCCGTGGCCTACGTCACGAGCGGCCGGCGTGCCTTGCACGCAGCCGGTGTGGAACACCTTGCGCAGCGCCGCTGACACGCTATTGGTATGGATATTCCCTGTGCTGTAAGCCAATGTACCACGTCATTCACCGGCCAACTTGTGCCGTTTAGATACGGCCTGCGTCGTTTCTTGTAGCTTTCCTTACCTGAATATGTGCATAAACATAATTTTGAAAACCTCGTTTGTGCTCAGCCTTCATGCCCTTGAACAAGCCAAAACGGGGGATTGCCTCATAAATGCCACCCCCATTGACCATGCAAGGGTTTACTCATTGTGAGTTTCCAGTCAACGCGGGTGTGGTTGGCCAGAACAGGTCATGTCTTGTTTGTCAATTTGTTTTGGTTTCGTGAGAGTGTGCCAGACAGGAGGGGTGACGCTTTGGTCGGAGCAAGTCTAGAGCTCAAGCTTTCGAGATCGGTCAGGGTGCTGGTCTGGATGCTGTTGCGCGGCAGTCAGGGTTCAGTGTGTTCTTGGGCGGCGCTGACGCCTGCCGAAGGCTATTGGGGCGCTTTTTGCGTTTTTTTGTTTATGTGTTCCGCGCAATGGTTCGTGCTGCCGAAATCATCATGAGACTGGACTGATTCAAACGAGGTTTGTGCTTTTCTGTGGCGCATATCGGCTCGTGGCCATGGTGTCTTCATGATGCTGCAAAAGTCACCATGGCGCTGCTGAGTTCAGGAAGACTCTGTCTGTGCTTGTGTGTAGCGCATAATGTTGGCTCTTTGGCGTGTTGCAGTATCATGATGCTTCCTGATTGGCAGGGTTGGTTCGGGCCCCCCTTTGCTTCAAAAGGGTAAGGTCCTGACGAATTCTTTGTTCAGCCAACAGCTGGGAAACCATCGCCAAACAAACCGCGTCGATATGGACAAAACCTCGTGGCTACACCCTCACTGCAAATTGTACCTACCCACCTTTACTTGCCGGCACCCCACAAACACGGGTGTTTGTGGTAGGCAGGTTTGCCCACGCCCATCCATCTAGGAGTGGGGACTTGGTGCGTCTTCATCGAAGAAACCTCCGCGCGGTTTTGCTGATGTTGTAAGGAAACTGGGCGAGGGCTTGTGATTGCTTTTCCACATGAGAGCTAGCAGGGTGTTGATTGGTTGGTTGGGTGGTCGGGTGGTGTTGGTTTGGTTGATTGGTTGGTTGGTTGGTTGGTTGGCTGGCTGGTGGGTGTTGGTTGGCGGGTTGGGTGGTTGGTGGGTGTTGGTCGGTGGGTGGGTGTTGGTTGGCGGGTTGTTTGGTGGGTTGGTTGGCTGGCTGGCTGGCTGGTTGGTTGTTAGCTAAATTTGTGGTTGTAACTGGTATTCGATCCGAGCCATGGCGTCATTTGCAAAATTTGCAAGATGGCCATCGGACAACGAGAAAGCTGTACGATCCTCTCAACCCTCCCAAAAAACAAACAAAACAAAATCGACATCAAGAAACAAAACAGAACCAACACCATTTGATAGGTAATGTCGACCCCAGATTCATAGCCGCGTGGCTGATTAATGCAGGGGAATGTCTCATCTTAGAGGGAATCTTTCACTTCTGGGAACCCTCAATTCGTCCATCAGGTCGATTCAGCCACTCACGCGAGCCACACGTCTTACATAGGGTTTCTGTTGGGTGACCCATGGGTGCTGACGTCCAATCCTGAGGCTCGGCCCGGCTGCGTGGGCCAGTGGCAGGAGGTTCTGCCGGAGGACGCCTCGGTCTCGAGCGGAGCATGTTGCTTCAACAGGTTTGTCGGTTTTTAAAGGTTTACTGAGGTAGAAATTAATTTGGGTTGCTGGAAGCGGTTCTTGCGGGTAAGTTAGCCTTGAACACAGCCTTGGAAGAAGCGTTGGCCCCTGAACAAATTGCAGAGAAAGGCCATCTTCGATCCCGAAAGGTTGCTTCACAAAGGTCCGCTGGTGTTTTTCTATTCCTGTTGCTGATTGTCTGGTGTTGCTGGGGAAGGGTGTCTCCGGGGTGTATACTAAGGTGGCAACGCAAAAGACGATCTATTTCTCAAGTATTCACCTGGGGTCATGAGTGATAAGTGGGGAAGCTTGTGAGTCAGGGATCAACAGTGCTTTGCAGAACAGGGAACGCGCGCAGTTGCATACATTACAACTGCCAGCAAACACTGCCCAAAACCCAAGGGTGGGCAACTGTTTCTTTTTCTCCTCATGTGTGCAGGGTGCTACTGCAGGGTCTTTGGTGGTTCTTGCTTTCTTGAACTGCTTGACTCTCGATGCTGGACAATTCGCTGTGCATTCGACCAATGTGTCAAAAGGTCGGCTTGTTGTTCTTTGAGTGCTTTTTGGCCCCGGTTTTCCCTTTTGCTTCCTTTGCACCTTTACCTGAAAGCACCAACGGTTTGCCTCTGCACCTTCTCTACCCACCCAAAACGAAAAGAGGAGTCCATGTGGGCGAATCACGCGGAGATGGAGGCTGCCAGGGAGCGGGAGCAGCGGCAAGCGGCGCCCGAGCTCTTCGAGGAGCGAACAAAAAGCGACCCGCGGCCCCCGGAGTTTGGGTGACCAATTTGTTGAATGGGATTGTGATTTAGGGAGTCGGTCCACTTTCAGGTTGGTGTAAAGGAAGCAACAAGGAAAGCCATATTTCGCGGGTCGCCCGATTTTTCTGACAAACGGGTTCTTTTCGGTTTGTCTTTTCTCTTTTTGTCGACCACAACCCGTTGGGTTTTCTATGACTGGGAGTGGTCAGATGGTCGCTCGCTGGGGTTCGGAAGTTCCGCCAGACTATTGGTTCGAGACCTCGAGTCGCTCCCCTACTTCCTTCTTTCTTTGTTTTTCCCTCTTTTTGTTTCTTCTTTTTTTGTTTTTTCCCCGGAGGGGTTCCTTTCAAAATCTACAAAAAAGAAGAACGCCCTTTTGATCCCGTGGCACTGGGACCTGGGGTTCGTGTCATTGGTGCAACAATGTTACATGTGGGTGCCAGTGTTTTTTTCATTTTTCTTTTTCGGTTCCTGGCGTGCAGGGAACCTTGTTTGGCTTGAGAGAAGCAGAGCTTCATGCGAAATACAAAGAGCTTGAACGTTTTTTCGGGATATTCGGCACCAAACCATTGTGAATCACCCTTCCACAAACATAGCCATTGGGAAGGTGCCTGGAGGTGCTATGCTAGTGGGAGAGTAGTGTTGTTCATTGTTCCCTGCTTCATTATATATATATATATTAAAAACAACAACTCCGGAAGCGCCAGGACGAGATCACCGTGAACCCGCTCGCCGACATGAAGTACGAGGTCGAGGGGTGGCCGCTGGTCCGGGGGTTGCAACCCAACGGCCTGAGGGTTTTGATGTCCGCAGTTTTGAACTCGTGGGGCTAGACAACACAAACACCTCCACCGCCAAATATAGCCACCACCACCACTAGCACCACCACCACCACCACTACCACCACTGCCACCACCGCCACCATTACTACCACCACCGCCGCCGCCACCGCCACCACCACCACCACCTAATAATTAGTACTATTGCTACTTTTGTAATTGTGATTGACAACAATGAAAGTGGATGCGAAACTGGGCGGCTCCTCACGCGAACCATGTTTAGGAATACGGGATTTTGCAACCCGTTCTGCAGGGGGCTGTTCCGCCAGGTTTGCGTGGGTTCTGCCAAGTTCAGGACAGAACCATTTTAAAGCACAAGACAGGGTCGGCAAGACTTCAACAAAGTCTGTCTAGAACTTTCCAAAGTCTCAATCGAATTTAGCAACAATGATACGATTCCTGAACCATGTTCTTCAGTGTTCACCAGGTTTGTCCGATGCTCAAGCACCTACAACGTTTGTCGTCGTCATCCTCATCCTCATCCTCATCCTCATCCTCATCCTCATCCTCCTCCTCATCATCATCATCATCATCATCATCATCATAATCATCATCATCATCTTCATCATCATCATCATCATCATCACCACCATCATCATCATCATCATCATCATCATCATCATCATCATCATCATCATCATCATCATCATCATCATCTCGGCCGAGTGGTCATAAGTCATAAACGAATAAAGGTACCGGCGTTGTTAGTGACCCCTGTTTTTCTTGATCGCCTTAATGCCCCTGTGCGGCGGCAACACCTGCCCGGCGCGCACGAAACAAGAAACGACTGCAAATCGACATGATGACCCAGTATTTACAAGCAACGGAGCTTCAATTCGCGTTTTGTTGAGCTGAAACGCTCATTTCAAAGGAATTTCTCCCCCCCCCCCAAAGAGTTTTCGAGGCCTCCGTTTGCATTAAACGGCACTTATTCCCTGCCAAATTGCAACAGATGGCAAAGGTGGCCACCGAGCAGCTGCCCACTTTTTCGCGTACCATTTGGCAGGCATGGATACAGAGTTGAGCGAGTGCAGTTCTTACCATTTCGCAGTCAAAGTTGCGCGCGTGCACTTGAGCGGGTGTGCTTACCATTGGCAGGCATGGATACAGAGTTGAGCGGGTGCACGTGAGCGGCGTGCTTACCATTGGCAGGCATGGATACACTGGCAGTTTTGAGCGGATACAGTGTTGCGCAGGTGCGGAAGAAAGTAGTAAAACGTGAGGGGTCGCTAACAGCGCCGATAGCATAAAGGTAAAGGAGCCTTGCCTTGGTTCAATGCACGGGTCACTCCAACTTGTGTGGTGTGCACCCGAATTCAGCGCATCCGTTGGGCTATCCGCAACATGCTGATCATTGGAACATCTCTCTAAGATTCAGCTTGTTTCCTGGTTTGACGCTACTAGTCCACCGCGGTTGGGGTTTGGGGTTTCGGGCCATGTACGTTGACGGGACCTGACGCAACTTTGATACGGTTTGTTTGGCAACGCGTTTCGCAGAAAAACCATGCCTGTGAGTTTCAATCAGCCACACGCCTTCTTCTTTTGAACATATGATACATTTGCGGATCTTCAATACTTGGAACCCCTTTGAATCCAATGCTCCAAACATCCAGAAGGCGACACCAGCTGCCGTGAGATGTGCCTGCGACGCGCCTGCGCGCCATGCTATGTACCTCAGGAAGGGCCACGTGGCGGACGAAGACTTGGAGAAGCACGAGAAGCAGATAGAGCAGAAGCGCGGCCTGGCGCAGAATGGCTCGTTGGTTTCCGTTTGGCTCCAAAGGGGTACCATAGGGTCCTTCTCAGGTTTGCTTCTACTGGTTTCAGTTAGTTCTAATAATTTACCAGGCACTCAGTGCCATCTCTAGTTTTTCCTAGAGGACGCCGAAGAGGCTACTCTCCGCACCAAAAGCAGGGAAGCAAACAGGCACCCGTTCCCTCTTCCAAGTGTCTTTTTTGCACTCCCGTGTTTGTGGGACGTTTCACCTCTGACACTAACCTCTAACTTAGACACGCTGATTCCTGTTCTGACCTGCCATCATTTGATCATCGAAGCGACTTTTGCACAATACCAATGTTTAGAAGAACAGGTTCATCCCGCCTTGTTTTGCCTTTCTAAAACGATGCGGGCTGGCTTATAGCCTCATCTATGGCTTCATCAACACGATAGATCCTTCTGGGTATCATTGAAAGCAAGCCCCGGAGTTGTTTCTTGGCTGTTTGCTTTTTCGAGGATACCCCGCGAGCTAGATTGTTGCTCGTACCATCTGATGCTACTGGACATGATGTCTTCGGGCTGTCCGTCCAATACTGTGCCTTCGTTGTTTACATCTTGCTCAGCTAGATTTCTTGTAGCACCGGAACAGTCTTATCCTGGATTTCTTTTCTGGCCCCTCTCGATTGCCAGGCAGGTTTCGGGTACATTCTTTCCGGGCTTTGGTTATGGCCCTCAGAGAGTTCTTGCACGTCTCTTTTTGCATCCCCAGTTGGATTCTCTCATTATCCCAATCTTGTCTGAATCACGATTACCCTTCAAGTGAAAGACTTTGAGGTCTTCCCAAAAAACACCTTTGAGGGTTTCCTGTAAAACACACCATGTGGGGCTTGATGAACAGGCCCTTTACATGGGATGACCATGGGGGGAAACCTGCAGCACGATGATATTTCCCACTCAATGGAAAAAGCTCATTTGGGGGCCAGGAATATTGCATGTAGAGGGTGATATTTGAGGACGGCGGTATGCACAGTTCCCCTTCTGGAGCTAAGGCAGCCTCACCGCCGGCAGCGTGTGGCGCCTGAGAAATAGCGCTTGACCAGCCAGGGGGAAACCCCTGAACATGTTGAAATCTTTCACTGTTGTTGATTTTATTAGTTATTCTTGGCTCCGGCCAATCTGTGCTTCCATACCAAGGGTTGCAAAGAGCCACTCATCCTCTTCTGGTTTCCGGGCCATGGCTTGGTTGCTAAACATTTGCCCAACCCAGGGGACACGGGGCACGTACTTTTAAGGCAATTTTGATTTTTTCCAATCATCTACCGGTGCCATCTATATTTCTCAACCTCAAGCACATGGGTGCATAGTTCCTTTTGGCGATGCCTGTTTTCTGGCTACAAATTCGTGGATGGGGATGCGGTGTTGGCTTTTGGTTTCGAAACGGGCTGGGCTCGCGGAGGCGTTCCCGTGCCTCCGGTACTGCGACCGGCAGATGTTTGGGTGGGGGCGGGGCCGGGCCGGGCCGGGGGCAGATGCAGCCCCAATGGATCCCAAGATCCGAATCCGGATCCATGTCTTTAGAATGGCATGTTTTTCGTTTTTCGGAAGGGGGTAAGGTAGTTCTTGAGCGACGGTGAAAGGTTTGACTATGGCACCTGCGGGATTCTTTTGTGTCGGTTCTTTCTGAGGCCAGCTTTCCCGTGAACAAGAAGAGGGCCAGCGGGATCCGCAAGAAGCGGGAGGAAGATTGAGCGCAGGGGCGCGATGAGGAAAGAAGTATTTGGCAGGATTCCGAGCACGTGACTCATGGGTAACTTTTTGGGGCCTTTTGGGACTGATGACAGGGAACGGTTTGGGAAATTCCTATTCACTCATGGAAGGCACCTCAAGGCTTACTATTTTTTCACGGCAACAAGAAACTTCTTTGTTTTGTCATATGATCGGAAATCTGGCTGGAACGCAAGAGGCGCAAACCACAAGGGTTGCATTTTGGTTCTCTTTGAGAGCTGTTCCTGAAAGTGATCCTTTCTAGTTTCGACCGACTTTTACCTCCCTTACCAGACGCGCCCCTTGGCTCGCTCCTAGCGCGTTAGCGCGGGACCCATGTAGCATGCAGCCTGAAAGCTCACACCCGTTTTCATTTTGTTGCAAACATGTGAGGTGTCTCAGGCTTCCAGGAAGCCTTGTTGCCAGATTCGGGTGAAAGGCCACTTGATGCAGTGGGCTGATGCAGCGCTTTCCTGGTCATGGGTCGGAAAACACACCTGGTTTCCGCGGGTCAAAGTGCCCGGCCATTCACATGCCAGCCGCGCGGGCAGAAAGACAGTGCGAGTTGAGGGACGCGAGTCGCGAGCAAGTGGAAGGCTCAGAAACGCCGGTGCGCGGGCTCGACGACAAAGGTGTGCGCGCGCGCGTCAAATCCAGTTAGTTGGACCCCCTCTAAATGGTTCATGACGCATGGTGGTCCTGCTTTATCCACGCTCACGTTTGCAGTCCCGCGGCAACTCCTCCACCTGTATCTTTTTCAGCCTTCTCACACACCTTTTCATTCGCTCCGGCGAACAAGTGGACGACCAGGCTCTCCGCCGTCGAACGTTCTCCTCCTCCGCCTCCATGCTCGGCACCACAGCTCATGATCTCCTCCGGCACGCCAGGGAAGAACTCTTTTCAACGCCCGCGTCATTGCCAGCTCTGGTTGGTCTTTCAACTGCTCCATCGGCATCTTCATGGCCGCTAACCTCATCGCATGCTCTCCTCCATGAGCTCCATATCTGCAATGAGCTCCAACGCCACCTGGCTGTCCACCATCGTCCTCCGCCGAACCTCGCAGTGGCCCTGCTTCCATTCCACCTCATACCCCATCATCGTCAAGCCGCCCATGGGCACAATCGGCTGGATGTCCTCCATCATGGTGGATCGCAAGGTAGAGGAGTTCCGCAACCAGTGGGGAAGGAAGTGGGTGGTGCTCAAGAAAAAGGATTGGGGGCTTGAGCGAGAGCACCATGAATCTACGGCGGCTGTATCAGCGAAAAGGTGCAGCGCTACTTGGAACCAGTACCAGCACGACAACCGCGGACGTGGCTGGACTATGGAGAAGATGAGGGCGGAATATACAAGGAGAAGGTCGGCAAGAAGGGGGCCTAGCTTTTGGGCGGTGCCGGTAAATACCCCGGACCTTTGGTGGTGCGAATGCACCAGGGGGAGCCTGACATCCAAACCGTTAGCAATCAAGGCAGTGCAAGAAGAAAAGCTGCCTAGGGAACCCATCAAGCCCAGAAATTTGAAGCTGGATCTAAAAGTTCAAGTCCGGCCTGACGGGGGAATGACGGCTTTGGAGGACGCAGCGCTCGGTTGAACCACCTGATCATTTTGCGGCTTCGTTGTAAATGTGCGACCCCTCCAAGAGGCCAGAGGGTTCCAAAAGTTCAGAACCCTCCAGGCTTGCTCCAGCTCGGGCTTTTTTCACGCGCCACGTCCGGAAGTACAACTCGGCTGTTGGCTGAAGCAAGGAAACGGTTTCACGGCTGGAATTCCGGGCTTCCATTGGGGTGGTGATTTTTTGAGGGTGCCGATCCAAACGCCGTCATTTCTGTGGGTCCCCCTGTGGAACCAACAAGGGACATCTCACGATGTCAGCTTTCATTGGAGGGAGGGTCAAGGGAAACTTTGGTATCGCAGATTTCTTGGCGCCATGACCTGGCCGGAACCCTGGAGGCAAGACCTGCCGATGCCTGCGGTGGAGCGTTGTGGAGGCGCTGGGGTTTTCGCGAGGCTCGCGGAGATTTTTTCGGCGGTGAAGCAATGAGTTTGGGGCGGGGCTTGCTTTGAGTGCTTTGGGGAATTCCCCCGGTAAAAGGCAACAACACGCGCACACACGCACAGAAATTTCACGCAGGTTCCGAGAGCTCCAGTTGCCGGAACAATCGACTGAAACCGCTTTGGTGTCTCACTTCAGGTTTTCTTTTCGGGCCCATTTTTCAGGAAGTGTTCGAGCTCTCCTCGTGCTCATCGAACCATTCCAGCCTTTCAGGTAGGGATGTGGGCCCAGGTTTTGTTTTTCATTTTTGGCGTAGCCCATGGACCAAAGCCCGGGGGGTGGGGTCGATTTTTCGAAACAAGAGGGCACCCTCGGTTTTTGCCGGTGGAACGAGAAGTGGCACCAAACTCTCCAACTGCCAACTATGGCCGTCGGGTCGACCCGTGCCCAGGCCATTTGGAAGACCATGGTCGGGCAGCCCAGAAACCGGGGCGACCGGCGGGATGAACCCTAGGCCAAAAACAAATCTCGAAGCTAGGGATTCGTGTTTGTTCTCCTTGAAAACCGTTCCCTTCTTTCCGAATGCGGAGGAGGGTGAAATGCATATCTTCGAGTAAGAAGAACTCCTTTGTTGGCGAGTCGACGAGAGCTTCTGGCAGCATTTCATGAGGCATTCAAGAAGCAAGTTATCCCTGTCGTCCAGTGCAACTGGGAGGAAGTCTCTCAAAATTTGATAGATGTGGGTCACATTTTTCAATCCAAGCTCAGCTTGCCGATGTTGGGAGGTGTCATTTTTTCCCCCGAGATATGGAGTGCTCACTCTTGGCCTGTCTGCCAAAACCACATGTCTGAGGAGACCGGGCACCGCTTGCAGTTTGAGGCCGGGAGACCTCCGTGGGACTGGCGCTGGGACCCGCCCCCAAGACGTGGTCCAGACCAGCCCAGAGCCTTTTTGGGCAGAGTCCCCGGAGCTTGCAGCTGTTCGGGAAAAAGGGTGTTTTCTTGCTTTAGACCAACGTGAAAAGAGTAGCCTCAAGAAAACTGCAAGGCTTGGTCCCAAATTCAAGAGGATCTATACGAAGTTAGCGTGCCCCTGGCTGAACCAACAACCGAACAGTTTGGTTCGATTTGTTCCAAGGGGTCCAACTGGGGCCGTGCCATCCCAACGGAGCGGCAATCCTGGTTGAAACTCGCTTGGCAATGTACTTGATGTGAACAATGCCGAAGTCTCTTAGAGTCTTCGGCCACTGGCCCCTTCCAGTCATGTTTTTTTTTTTTTAAATATGGCCAAAATCCGGTTGGGTGGGGTGGGGGTTGGCTTCTCGTGGCTTTTCCTCCTGCCGGGGTTTACGAAGCTCCTTCGTCCGGCAGGGCTTGGACCGAAAGCTGACGAGCCAGGGCTTGCAGGAGGGGCCTTCAGAGCCAGCAATGCGCTGAGTGGTTCACAAGGGGAGAGTCCCACAAGGGCTGAAGGAGTTGCGTTTGCTATTAGTTTTTTTAAATAGCAGGAGCTCTTTTTAATAGATGGCATTTTTTCATGTTGTTCTCATGCTGAAACCGTCAGGCTCCCTGGTTGTGCACCCCCGAAAAAGAGGCTCCCCAAGTTGCACTTGTCGGGACTTGATGAGGCCATTCCTCATTGCTTTTCATGGTGATAGCCACGGTTCGGCCGTGTTGCCTTTATTGGAATCATGCTCACCCTCGGTACGCTTGGCCCTTGATCAATGCCTCCTTTTGTTGGTTGTTGCTTTGCTCATTCCCCGGCGAGCGAGCGATTGGAAATTGAGGTCTGTTTTGAGCTGCTTCTTACTTGCCCAACGACCAACTTAAGCGGTCCCTCTCCCACTTGCAATCCGTTTTCCCTTGCGGTCCCAAGGCTGACCTTCAATTCTCAGATTCTTTGGTCAATTGAGCCTTGGAACAGGCTATATACTCCACCGGCACTTATACAATCCACAAAGCCACGATCATGTCCGCCCCTCTGATTGAGCAAGCTATCCTGCCTATGACAAAGGTTACTTTGATAATAATCCAATATTTTTTGGATTGGCGCGTTATTATATTTTACCAAACAAGTTGAGTTCATCAGATGTTCTTAATCTGTCTTTCGTTGCTTTAGCATCCGCGGGCAATGAACTGCCTGCCAGCACGAGGACATGTGCTCACTCTTCGGCACGGTGCTCGATTGCAAAGCCACAGCCAGCATGTTTGCCCAAGCCCTGGAAATGTTTGCGCTTTGTTGGTAGTTTGGATGGGTTTGGGATTTGAACCCTGGTTCTTGTAGAGGGTTTCGTGGGGAACCGGCCCAAAGCTCCAAACCACCAAGAGGAAAGCTGCAGACTGTTGGACTGGGCGTTCCCCAGGGCGAGCCCCAACAAAACCTCAATGGCACCCTTTGCGCTGGTTTCAAAGGCAGGTAAATCACTCCTTGAATTTGCCGTGTAGCTGGGCCAAGCTTGGAATACGTCGGGCAAGTTCCAAAGAACTGCGTGCCAAGGGATCCTCGGGTTTTGGCTCGGACTTGGCTGTTCGTGCTTTGGATGGGTCTTTGATAGTGAGGGTTCTGCAGGTTGATTCATGGGCTGAGACGGGGCGACGGTGGTTTCGGGCTCGGGAAAACGGTGCCAGATTCGCGCATGAACCGGTGAACACTTGTGCAGATGAAGGGCGCCTTGGGCACGTTTCACTTGATCATGCCACTGCTGCCTTCCTGCAGCTATTTCTGCTTGAGCCAACTAGATCAGGTTGCCTGCAGGGCTGACACGGTGACACGGAATCCTCCCGGAACGCTTGGAAGAGCAAAACAAAAAGAAGAGCCTCACCTGTTCAGCCAATCGGCCCCACACAGGTCGCGTCGCAGTGCCAGATTGGAAGCGTAACAAGTTCAAAGCCCGAATGGAGGAACCCTTCAAACAGAAATCCTTCCTGGGGCTCGCCATGTTTTTCAGAGAAGCCCGCCACCAGCTAAACCGAGCCAGATCATTGTTTTCCGTTATGAAGTTATACGGCCATGAAGTTTTAAAGGGAGCCGCCTTCAAAATGGTTGGACATGAACGCCCTAAATGATGTCCATGGGGTCCCTTGGGAGAAGGAGGCATAGCCCATGTTGCCGTCTTCCGTGATTTGAGCCCTTTGGGGGACTTCCGGATGGACGACAGGCCCTTGGGCCCCTGGGGGGATTTGGGGGGGGCAGGGGCCAGGCCGCCGCGCGGCGCGTGTTTTTTTTTTTGTCGCACATGGGACATGGATACCTTTGGTCGGCACCTCATCTCTTTCCAAAAGCGTGGATGATGGCAGGGATCGTGGGATGCAGATGGAGTTTCTCTCAAAGCCTGGGTTAATTGGAGGCTTCGGGAGGTTCGCGAGCAATGGATGTGGCCGCCTCTGACCATCATGATCTTGGGTAGACTCCTTCCACACCAGGTCACCAGGGTCGATGGTCACTCGGTTCATTCTATGAATGGAAGTATCCGCTTGTGACTTGCCCTGTTGACTGCCGATTTCATGCAGACCCCGGTGTCACTTTGTTTTTGTTGCCCGGTGCGGGAACCAGAGTTGATTCAGACCCGCGCTTGGGAAGCTCTAGTTCTTGCATCCTGAGGTGTATGCTTTGGTAGGTTTTGGTCGTCTAACAAGGTATTTCGGGTAGGCTTCATAATTTTGTCTCGGTGTCTCACTTGTGATTTCTTGTCAGGGGGCATGAGTTGAATTTGCATCTAAGGGCTGACTTGATGCTCGCATGCGCTCCAGGACTGCGGCTCCCCATGACACTCAAGGCACAGACTCCAACCCCAAAATCATCAAGCCACATGTTCCAGCCATCACCGCCCCATCCATTTACCAAAGCCGACTGGACGGCTTTGCCCGGGCCAGTTTTTCAGCGGCGCCTTCGCAGACTCGCGAGACTCGCTGGCAGGTGGAGGACGTCCAGCCAGGCCTACGGCGCCTTCTGGAAGGCGCGGGACCTTGGCGGAAGGTCAACTCGGGGCCCGGGGAGGTCTGCTGGAAGATCCCCCAGCGCGCCGAGTTTTTTTTTTTTTGGGGGGGTTGGTCCGTGTTTCAAAAAATGGGTGGCGCCGCGCGAAAACCAAGTTGGCGCCCCGGAAAAAAGAGGGACGTGGCGGGGCAGGGGCAGGGGAAGGAAAGTTGCATCCGGAAGCTTTGCTCCGCCGAGGTGTTGCACTATATGCACATGCAGTGTTTGGACAGCAGCCAAACTCAAAAAGTCATTGTGCCAAGACAGCGCTTCTTTTCTCGCCCGATCTTGCTTTGCGTCAATCGGTCACCCAAGGGGGATGGTTGCTGAACAGCGAATTCAAGCGTCCATTCTGCCTCACTTTACAACGGCCCCCGCCTCCCTTTGACCCCCCCGGGCTAGGAAAAGAAGGACTGGGAGGAATATCGTTGCCGTACCCAAGTATTCAGAGCGAAACTACAATCTGGTTCAGTACCAATTGCAGCATAGAACGAAAGCAGCAGGTTTCAGCACTGCCCTCGCTTTATTTCAGACACCATCTCGTTTTGCTGCTCCCTAAGTGCCAGGTTGAAGGGAGAAAGCTACCTCAAATCCTAGGTTTCCACATCTGCTAGGAACCTAGAAACCGACCCTCACAGAGCAAGCCTGACAAACAGGGCGAAAAAGCAAGCCCGAAGGCCATGGCATGGTTGGGTCCTGGTCGATTCTGGGCAAACAGCCGTGGAGGTTGAAGTTGGGGGGTGGGCCTCTCGGTGAGACCTGTTGCCTGGGCAGAGCCGCTCCGGAATGATTTGCAACATGTGATCCTTTGACTCATGGAGAAAGCTGCACGTCTTTGACACATCCACGTCTTGCCGCAGGCAGTGCCACTGGAGCCCAAGGCGGGGTCAAGATGTGAGCGGACGGGTGATAGAAGCGGACATGACCCATTCGACGGGGTTGCGAATAAACGGGGTCCAGTCGTTTCCATGTAGCATAGGCCTAGAACCCATTTGTTGGAAACCATTGGGGGTCACCCAAATAGAAGGCGCCACCGAGGGCTTCCTAATCTGTTTCTATTTGGGCCGCAAGCAAAATTGTGAAGCTGGACAAATTGTAGCTCGGACCAATCAGGGGATTTATCTCGATTTCAGCTTGGATGGTCATGGATAATTTTTCTGTCAAAGCCGGACTTAATTGGTTCTTTTTACGGGGACTGTCAACATTTGGCAGGCTCCAAAGCTTTTATTGACATATATCTGGGCAATGACATTCCAACCTCTCATTACTTCAGGTCGCTTACTTCACCCAAGTCGGTGGAATGGCCTTGTCTTGGCTCGACTGAAATGTCCTTGCGAGTTCTTGGAAAGGACGCACGTTCCCCAGCCGACGACCATTGAACAACATAGCATTTGGGAACGTGGAGCACCTTTGGCGCTTGGAAGCATGCTAGATTTATCTCCAACTACCATATATGGAACCTCCAAGCTGGTCACGGGCGTCCATTTTGAACAGCTTGGTGGAATTGAACATAGACTCATTCCACTGGTTTCATACCAGTGGAATCCATTTATTAGTCTTCGCCTTTGCCTAGACATTCCACATCTAATTGATCAATCCCGATAATACTGTGGATGCACGACATCCGGCACCACTTGGAAACCATGGTTGAAGCCATTGTTCATTGGTACTTGCCTTGGGGAATCGAATCAGAGACCCGGGTTTCTGAAGGCTGCGAAATGGATTTCGCAACCATCCACAGTAGGACAACAGAAACGTGGGTGTGGCTCAAAATTAAACAGGAGGGGCAAACCGCAGGTTTTGGTCCACGTTTCCACTTACCAGGGTTTCATTTTGATACCGGTTTGTTGCGCCACAGCTTCAGGGACCTGTCACCAGGTCGTTGCGCCGGAGCTGGAGACATCCCAGGAGGCTGAGGTGTGGCGCTGTGGAGGGGGTTTTGGGGGAGTGGATGGACTTGTGCATGTTACTGCATGATTGAAAGGGACTTTTTTTTAAGGGACCACACTGCATGTTGTTTTTTTGAATTGGACCCTTTGTGGATCTCAGAATGACAACGCCGTGTAAATCGATTGGACCCCTTAAAGTGGACATCATTTTCATGGGGATTTGCGTTCGCCAACCATCTTGGAGGGCGTTCCGTGTTTCCATTGTCATTCACAGTCCATCAGCAGACAGTGTTGGCCAAGGCAGCTTACCCCAGCCCGTTGCCAGGTCAGGACATGGGAAGTGTTTTCCTCCGAGCTTGCAAGACTTCGGTGCAACCCCCCAGCGCCTTGGGTTCACAGGGCTTCATTCGCGCAAAGAGAGTGAGAGGCAAGGTCAAACCGGGAAACAAGTCCTTTGAAGGTGTTTTTTTTAACTGCGAATGTTCCCCTTTTTTCCTTGACACCAAGCTGAACAGGGTTTTCTCAAACACACACCAACTTTCAGCTTTACGCAGGCTTCAGCCCAACCGCCGCGGCATTGCATGCCGCGCTGAAGTTTAGACATGCGAACTCGCTCACCAGTTGAAGACATATGGGTTGGTCTTTTGTTGGGGTACCCGCTTCGTCGGAGGTTTACAGGAAAACTGAAAGCAAACCCACCCTATAAAAGAGACAGCCATATTTGGCGCTCCCAAGCTTTGCCGGGTCCAGTCCAAAAACCACCCTTCGCCTTTAGAGGATCCCCTTGAAAGTAGTTGGTTTTGGGATGTAGCCTTTACGGAAGTTCGGTTTGGGTGCGGGATGTGCCGAAGTGTCCATCACCAGGCGGCTCGCCGGCACGCGCGCCTGGAACGTTTGCTCGCAGCGCCGGAGCCTTGTTTGGCCACGAGGGTTGGGTTTAAATCGGGAAGTGGACCACCTCAGCTGGTTTCCTTTTCTCTAGGGGTTGATTCCCCATTCTTTTCAACCATCGTTCTTTTCAAAAACGGGCTGTTTCCCCTGGGTGTTGATGGTTTCCTGAAAGAAGGATCCCTGGACAGAATGGAATTGGAAGGTACCCCTAGATTTTTGGTGTCCCTAGCCCAAACCAACAACACACCCAACCAGACCGGTAGGCTGGCTCAAGGCTCCCAGGACTCGGCCTTTTGTGAGCCTAAAACGGGCCCTCAGGCGACCGTACGCGACAGATGGGTTCTATGGCTGAAAGTGGATGGCTGCGGGGCAAAACCAATGGTATCATTTTGACCCATTTTAGTCCATTTTAGTGGTTGGATTGGGATGTTCACTGGGGGTACGATTTGGATTTTGACCCATGGCCAGATGGCGGATTCAATTACCCGTGGTTGGCCATTCAGTTTATTGGCCCACAAGGTTTTGTTTCTCAAGGATAGGGATCCATGTTCTAAAATGGCAACGGTTTCCTTTTGGTTTCCCTTTCAATATCAGCCAAGCGGGCAAAAACACCCACACGCTGGAATCGTGCCATTTGGGCATTACTTTTTATTCATACGGAACCACCTCAGCGCTTGGTGTAACATGAATCCCCTCGGAATGATGTCCAAAGGGTCCAGCACATCAACATTGACACATGGGAGTTTCTCCAAATGATACTGGGTTTCACTTTCCCTATTTAAAGGAGACTAGGAGACCATCTCATTTTTGTTGCTTTCTGCAAATACTCCGTTTCCTTCCTGCTTTTCGGGAGACCAACAGGAGACCAACCATGGTTTTTTTTTTTTTTACCGTTTTCGGTCACTCCATTTCTCATTTCCCTCTGAGAAGGCGTCTCTTTCTTTTCTTCTCGTTTTCGGGGCCATTCCCTCGTTCCCTTTTTCCCAACAGCCTCCAGATGTTGGGTTACAGTCGCTCTAGCAGGGTTGAGTGGCGCTGCCTTTTTTCAAGAATTTTTCGGTTTGTAGGGGTGTGGGGGGGGGATCCGGAACGGGGTACGGAATCCGGAACGGCTCGGACGGAGAGGAGGGGGGGGTGGCACTGCTTTATGTGAGACATTTTGGAAATGTATTCGGGTGGGGGAGGGGGTTGGGCGGATGCGCGGCAGAGAAAAAATGAAAATGCGCTCCGGAATGACAGGGCAAAGTCTTCAGTGTTCTTGTTTACTCCGTTTGTGTGGGCAGCATAGGTGTTCGAAGTTTGACACAGGTTGAGGGGACATGTTGTGCAGGGACAGGATTCAATTGAGGGGCTTTCTGATGTGGAATTGAAAGGACAAAACCCTGAAGTGCGTTTGTTTGCTCCATTTGCGTGGGAAGCAAAGGCGATCGAAGTCTGGCACACTCAAGGGAGATTTTGTACAGGGACAGGATTTGATTGAGGGCTTCCTGGTGTGGAATTGAGAGGACAAAATGTTGTGCTCCCTTTGTGTGCATAGCATAATTTTCATCTGGGACGTGGTTGCAGACATGCTTTGGTATTTTGATGTGTTTGGAATTCTGCATTTACTGCGGGTGTGTTTCGAATTTCCATTTGGGTCATGGTTGCTCACATGTTGTTTGTTTTGTTGTGTTTTGCTGTTTTGCGAGTTTGATTGAATGATCCATTTACTGAGTTTTTGCTTGGCATTTGGGACATGGGTGTTGACACTTTGGGACTTTTGGGTTTCTTTGTTTGTTTGGATTCTTGGTGATTCCGAATTCACAAGGTTCCCTTCTTGCACGTCCATGTGGTACATGGTTGCTGACGTGTTGTTCTTGTGTTTTTTGGGTTTCTGTGGAATGTTGCATTTGCCGGGTTCTTTTCTTTTGCGAACTTTGGATGTTCTCGAGTTTTCCGTAGGATTTCGCATCAGAATCAGACTGTCCCCGGCTATTGGCAATTCTAAACTTGGACTTTTGCAAAGACTTAACCTCAGATGTACTTCTTGTTTTGGATTTCCTGGTCAAGCTACATGGCCATGAACCTCATTGTTGAAACAATCAACATTCAGTTGGCTAAACTCCGGGCAAGTGTCTAAATATATGTTGCTGATGTTCCTGGACAGTGTCCATAATTGTCCATGTTGTTCTATGAGGTTTCTATGGATTTTTGTTTGCATTGTCTATGCATTTTCTATGCATTTGTTGATGCACTTTTACAAAGCGCATAGAACATGCGGAGAAATCCAGGTAAAGAGCATAACATGCATAGACAACACATAGAACATGCATAGACAAATGCACAGAACATCTTTGTAGAACAATCATAGAACTTAGAACATTCATTGACCAACCATAGAAGCATCATAGGATATTGATGGACACCTACTGGAAATAAGAAACAAAACACAGGATGTTCCGACAAAAAATGTAGCCAAATCCAAGAAGAACCCTCCTTTTTTTGTTTCCTTTTGTCGGCTTTGCGCCAATTCTAAATTTATCCCTTGATTGCTGTGTTGTCATTGGATGAGCCTTGACATTTCCAAGATTCAGCCCCCCACCTCACCCAACTACACTAGGTACACCGCCCGTAGTAGCCCGTGTAATATCGTGTTTTTTTTGGCTTCGGAGCAACCTGTCGAACCTGCGATTACAGGGGGACAAGGAGAGCCCCGTCTGTCCCTCATGTAAAATGCGTCGAGACAGTGGGGAATTTCTTGCGTTCCCGAATCTCACTGGCACGCTGCTTTCAGAAGCTCATTTTTCCAGCCCCCAACTATCGTGTGTCAAGGATTTTGTCCCTCATGTAAAATGGCCGAGACAGTGGGGAATTTGTTGCGTTCCCGAATCCCACTGGCACGCTCATTTTTCCAGCCCCCAACTATCGTGTGTCAAGGATTTTGCCATGTTCAAGACTGCATGTTGCCTGGGAACCGCATGATGAACTCTCTAAAAGTCAAGCGGAAACCTATGTAGGCATACCGTGACAGCAGGCACAAAGGACGAGATGGGGTCCAAGTAAGGCAGCCAAACAGTGAAGAAAGGACCCAGCGCCGAGTGTGTGGAGAAGCAATGCGAGACGCCAGCCAAACGCAGCAAGACGATGAAGGCAAACGCTAGACGAACGTCTTCTGACACCAAGCTACAACAAAACAAGACAGCTCAGCACACTAACAGAGAACATCACACACCTACCAGAAGCAGGAAATAAAGAAGTTCTTGTCAAGCAAACTCGAAGAAGTGACGTAATCATTCCCCCCCACCCCCCCCACCCCCCACCCCACCACACCAAAAAATCAAGAAAGCACAAAAAACACGGGAAAAAACGGAGTTCAAACACAAAAAGCAACGAAAAATGGAGTTCGTCCCACGGGCGGCTGTGGGCGGTGGTCCAACCACACAAGTTCCTTAGCATGTTTACAGTCTGTTTGTAGCGTGCTTCCTACAGGAAATAGTAGCTAAATATAAGGGGAACTCTCACGCTTGTTTTAGCTGTTTGCTTCCCGACAAACCTGATGTCCAGGGCCTTGCGTGTGAATTCTAGGGTTTCCCGCATTCTCGAATGTATGGATCCCCCCCTGAATGTCTTCCCTTTCAAGTTGCTTAAGTTCACAACCTTTGCTGTGTTGCCCGGCATTTGCAAGTTTCATCCCCAGCCCCGCCAAATTACACGATACTATGTTTAAAGCCTATTTGTAGCACACTTCCTACAAACATTGTAGCCCAAAGCTGATTCCTAGGGTCTCGCGTGCGATTTTTGGTGTTTCCCGAGTATTGATAAGTCTCTGATTAAGTTCGCAATTTTTGCTATGTTGCCATTGGATGAGCCTGGGCATTTGCAAGTTTCATCCCCAACTGCACGTGACTATGTTTACAGCCTGTTTGTAGCGCACTTCCTACATACTACAAAACTGTAGAACGCTTCGCGTTGCCCGCCTCGGCCAGTCCGCTTTTGGCTGGCTTTGAGGTTAGTTTTCCTTGAGGTCTTGCGTTCCGCGAAATACTACCCGCAACTGCACAGTGTGAGGGCCACGAACGCAGCATGTTGCGTTATGTAGCAGGCAAATCGTTTTGAGGTTCAAAAGGATGCAGGTCCAGGACTGCCTGTCTGAAAAACCGAGGAGGCCTGAACAGCGAAGGTGACCGAAGTGAATTGTTGAATCGGGCCGCGAGGAGGCTGGCGAGACTTGCAGATGTGGGCAGACACGATGCGTGTTTTAGGCTGCCAAAGTTCGCTCCCAGGCGCCCGGTTTAGCAAATAAAGATAAGCCGCTAGAGTAAAACAGATCGAAGGGAGCTGCGAGAGCGAGCAACCATGAGCTGCGCAATGCAAAAAATTCCGGGAGACATCCCATCTTGGAGCATTATCTGATGAATGTATTAGACCGGATTCCTACTTCTTTTTTTTTACGACGCCTACTTGTCTAAAAAAGAGGAATAAACAAGCGCATGACTAGCACATTTAAAGGTATCGATTGGTATTGTGTTTGAAGGCCCACAGTCTTGCCATTGCCATGTCCACCGACACCCAGACAGGAGGAGTCGCCGTACGAGCAGTGGCTGGCTGGGCTGTGCGATGAGTGAGAAGCCATGGCGCCCTGCTGAATCAGATTTTCTAGTTTGCTTGCCTCAAAATCGTGTGGCGCAACGCCATGCTGCGCCTTGAGGTGCTCCTGCGCGTGGCCACTTTGGCGCCAGAGCTGGCGTGGTGCTTGAGGAGGCGCGTTGTTGACATGGCGAGGTGGGTCGCGCCTTGGACTCGCATTATGATCGATGTCGTTTTGCCCTAGAAAACATTTTATTTGGGGAAGCCCGACTCAGCTCGTTGACTCCGCCAGGCCAGAAGGGTGGGGAGGCGGCCGGATGGAACTAGATGTTCGCGCTGGGAAAAAAGAGAGAATGTTGCACAATCTAGACACCTCCCCACTGGCGGTAGTTCGCTCACGTTGCTTGGCCAGAGGGAGGGAGGGACAGAGGGATGCAGATTTTCAGCTGCGCAAGGGAAATGATTTTGTCGCAGCCTGTCTGTGTGCAATGCTGATGTGCTTGTCGCACAAGTTTCGAACATTGAGAAACTGAGAAATGATGATCGCAGAAGCTTCTACCGCATTTCGGCAAAGTTCTTGGCCCACGTGCCACCTGCCCCGCTCAAACGGCATACGCATCAAAAAGAAATTAATTTAGGATCAACAAAAAATTTCTTGCGAAGGAGATGGCAGTTCGCAAGTCAGTATTCGGTGCACCTGGAGCGTACGGCGGTTAGTAAGTTAGTAAGTTAGCAAGTTGCAGGTAGCAAGGTAGCCAGTTAGCAAGTTAGGTCGGTAGTCAGCAAGTTAGCCAGTTAACAAGTTGGTGAGTTAGCAAGGCAGTAGTTGCGCCAGTTAGTAAGTTAACAAGGTAGAGTGGGGGAGAGACTAAGTTGGTGTGGAGGACAGGGCAGTTAGCGTGGTAGCAGTGCTATTTCTACAACTACTACTATTATTATTACTACTACTAGTAGTAGTAGTAGTAGTAGTAGTAGTAGTAGTAGTAGTAGTAGTAGTACTACGACTACTACTACAACTACTTCTGCGACTAGTGACACTGCTACTAGTGCTCGTAACGTAGTACCCGCAGCGCCCATCGATTAGTAGATCTAGTGCTACTACTTCTCTGACTACTACTACTTCGCTGCTAGTACTACTACTACTACTACTACACCTCCACTAAGACTACTACTACCACCACGAGTACTACTACTACAACTACTACGACTACTATTGCTACTACTATCACTACTATCACGACTATTGCTATTATTGCTACTTGTACCTTTGCTGCTACTACTACTACAGCTGCTTCTACGACTATTCCCACCACAACTGCTACTACTACTTCTACTAGTACGACTACTACTACTACTACTGCTACTACTACGACAACAACAACAACAACAACAACAACAACTACTACTACTACTACTACTACTACTACTACTATTACTACTACTACTAGTATTGCTGCTCAAAGCACTACTAGTTTCGTAGCAAATACTACTCCTACTGCTACTACTGCTTAGCACGAGTAGTGTGTTAGTACTAGTGCTACTTCTTTCACGACCCCTATCTTCTGCTCACCACCCCTATCTGTTTATTTTTTGATCCTGAATTACTTTTGGAGTAATCCCTCAGCCCGCTCAAACTGGCAAACATGCGTTGGCTTTGCAAACATGCAATTGTTCCGCTCTTAACTGCAGGATTCGTCGGCGAGACACATTGCTGCAAGCACCAGGAATATCAATCCCTTGTAGCTACAGGAATATATATCCGTGTGCAGGAATGCTACGGGGAGTACGAGCTGCAGCAGCCACAAGAACATGAATACTTTGTGGCTTGTGGCAGCTTCCTTGCCTGGGTCATGGAGAAGCTGTTGGGTTGTAATGCTGGCTGTCGGTTAGTTTTAGGCTACACCATACCCCAGCCAACAGCTACACCATTACAGAGACACTGGCGTGGTTAATTTTCAGCCAGCTGTAAACACACGTCAGAGGGTCTCGTTTCCTTCGCAGCGCACGAGCAAGCAGAGGCACGGCCTCGCAGAGCGGCCTGTGGCCGGCGCGCCTCGGCTCGAACGAGCTCGAATAATTTTTTTTGGGGGGGCGGGGTGGGGAGGGGGACGCCCGGTGGCTTTTCTCGGTTGTTTCCGGTGGAACCGAGGAACCCCCCCCCCGCCCCAAAACAAGTGAACCAGCGAAACTTTCGAGGGGAGAAGGTAGGGGAAGAAGAAGGAAGAAAGGAATGTAGAGTCTTATCGTTCTTCCCCCCATTCAAGCTCGAACTGACAGTAGCCCAAAAGAGTGCTCCCCAAAAACGGACAACACTGATCGTTTTCTCACCAAAAAACTGGAAGCTCGCTGACCCCGTTCTTGCTATGGAAAAGGATCTGGCTTTTCAAACGGCTGTCACTGCTTGCGGTCTCTTGTTCTTGTTGGGAAGCCACCCCTAGACCACCGAACCAAACCAAGCGGTTGGTTCGAAGCCACCAATGAAGCTGATGGATCCATCTCGATTGACCAGGATGGGAACTGCCAGTTCCGGGCCCTCGCGGACCAACTCTACGGCTCGGAGGCTGGATTCCCGGATCGGTCGGCAACGCTTGCAAGAGACCATCCCTTACAGCTAGTTGATGAGGAAAGGATAGCAAAGAAGGACAGAATGGTGGAGATTCTCTGAGATATAGCTCTCGCCTAGAATTTTCAACATGAAGGAGTGAGGGATATGAACGGAACGGTTCTCTGTTCATCATTCATCACAATTTCAGTATCTTTAGTCGATTGGAGATGACACGGCATTTTCCATCTCTTTCCATATCTTCATCTTGAAATGTTGTATTAATGTACAGAGCTTCTTTATTTCATCTTTTTCATGAAGCCACAACTCCAACATATTGTCGTTGTGCTAAGATGTCTTCATTTTATTTTACTTTCTTTTGTATTGTGGTTTCTCATGTCAGTCTCCGTAACCAACTTCAATCAAGATGTTTCGGACATATGTTGGTTTTTCTTCTCAAACATCTCTTTTTTGCTGTTTACATATTTCCTTTACTATGTTTTTTTATTTCTTCGTTATAATTACCTCTACGTTCCATGTACTTTTATGTAAGATTGGACATTGTCTTGTGCTGTATCTCTTGGACCAATCCTTGTCACCCGCGAGCGACGTAGTGTGATGCCGGTCGTGCTGGACAAGAAGTCGCAAAAAGAAAAGCAGGACTCCTCGCCTTTTGACGATACCAGGTCAAAGGCCCAAGATGCGAAGGCAACGGCTCCCTGCAGCTCGCACGGACGAGGCTTTTTCAAATTGTTTGTGCGTGCGTATGTGTGTGTGGGTGTGTGTTTGTAGCACCCGTTTTTAGGTTGTTTAAAGGGACACCAAACGGCAAGCCGAAGCCGGTTTTTTTTGGGGGGGATTCCCCTATTTTGCCACAGACCCATATTATATTTGAAACTTGATGATGGTGACCCCTGACATGTAAACTGAGAGTGATTTGCACGGGGGCTCTTCGCTTAGTGATCGGATTCCTTGCTTCTGGCACAACCCTCCAACGGCTGGTTTGGGGATCTATGGCCGAGCTGGCAGTCAAACCTCAATTCTGGCCAAGGCTTGGCAGTGTCCAAGTCATTTTCCTTGACACAAAGTTTCAAAGGATAGACAAGACGGAGAGGCTCCATTTGAGTTTGAATGCAGAGTCAACGTTTTGGCCGGACTCTCCTCGTGAACGTCCCCAACCGAACATGTGTAAGGGGAACCCTCACTTTTCTGCAGGTTGACATGGAGCCCCAAAAGCCCTGATCAGAGGAATCTCCTTTTGGAGGCTTCGCCTCTTTGGGTTCCATGTGTTGACGCGAGGAACACCACGACGCCATCCGAGCGCAGGCCCGGAGTCAACGCAGAGAGGTCGCGGGCCGTGGGTGCATGTGGGGTATGTCCAATTTCTCTTGTTTCTCACACAACGAAATGCATGCGGTTCCCTTCTGTCCTGGAGCCAGCCACTTGTGCTTCCAACAGTCCCAAAAAGTGGGGAGTGGACTACTCAGGTGAATTCTTCTTCAGCAATGTCAATATTGAACCATCCGGCTGTTTGGGGGGTGCTAGGCGCAACCACGGCGCGTCCTTCTCGGTGAATGCCAACACCTCGCCGGGTCCTTCCTTTTTGGGGCAGCCCTTTTCGGAATACGGGATCCTTGTACTTTGATTAGTTTGATTAATATTATTGACTTTTAAACAACCGGAACCCCAGAAGGCATGGACCATATATATATATATATAGAGATATACCTTGACCATATGGTACCATATATGTATATATACATATATGTATATATATATATAATATATAGGTGTATTTTTCCGCACCTGCTATTTGGCACAAGGGGCTCGTGAATCACTCTGGGCTTCAGGCTGCTTCGAGCCCTGGGCTTTTGCGGCACATGGCACCACCAAGGCCCAGGTCGGTCAAGATTTGTATCTGAATCAGAGATGAGTTCGGCAGAAAACGCAAGAACAAAAAAACACACACGTTTCTTTGGGTTGTCTACCATCAGTTTTGGAAGACCCCTCTACCAGGCTTGGATTGTGATGAGTCACATGACACACACACACACACACACACACACACCTTGGACCTTCCCCGTTTGAATTGAATATCCGCTTTAGTAGGCAACCTGGCATTTTCCTTTAGAGTTTGCAGAATGGTTCCCTTGGTCACCTATAGTTTTGGGGAACCATCCCTTAAACATCACGCTTGGTTTACCTGGCAGGATGGTTCCCCATTTCTTTAAAAGGATCTGCCAGTTTTATGGCCCTGTTTTCTCGTGACACCACCGGTGGGTGGTGGACATGACCCGCTCCAGAGGGTCCGAGCGTGCATTTGGGTTGGGAGGTGTTTCCTCTTGACCCACCAGCTCCATTTTGAAGGGGCGTTGTTTTCCCTGGACCCGGAAAAACGTCAGATCCCATGGATGGGAGGGTATTCAGGTGCTGGAGCAGCTCAGAACGCTCCCTTCGCGCTACCAGGGCTTTGTGCCAGGCGGGTGGTCTTAGGGGACGGGGTTGAGCAGGGGGCGAAAGGCTGGGGGGAACGAGCTGGTAAGTTTGGAGGTGCGGGTTGCCTTTTCTTTTGAGGAGTTTGTTCTGTGGAGGTTTAGAGGTGGTGAGGGACACCCTTGTCTCCCATGTGAATATGATGTCCACCAACATGGTCCTGAATAGATTTTTTCTTCCTTCTTTTATTTTTCTGATATTGCCACGTCACTCATGAGAAAGGTGGTCCCCCCCTGGGTCGTTTCCCATTTCAGCCAGCTTACCCTGAAGTGCGAGGGTCTTGAGAGCAGGAATGAGAACCAATCTGATCTCAAAACCCACAGATTTTCAGGTGGATCATGCTTATCCTTGGGACTCTTCGGTAGAGGAGATCACTGTAGGCGCTTCCTGTTCAAATGGGCCCGACTCGACACTTTGCAGTCCAAGCTTGGGAAGGCAAGGCGGACATTACAAACACACACCCGCCCACCCTTTTCACACGGAAGTTGACGTTCCGGGAAGTCCTGGCTTGGACAGTTTTTCTTTGAAAGGGACCACCAAACGTCAGGTTCCATGCTCTTTGGTGGGACATACTTCTGCTTGGGAAGTGTTTCGGTTCAGCCCGGCTTGGTGCTGGGGTCCGGGCAGACCTCAGGCAGGCGTGCGCCCAAAACCCGCGGCGGCCATCATAAGTTGTGGTTCCGCCTTCGACCTGCCACATCAATTCTAGCCTGGCTGTTGTTTCTGAATCACTGTAAACCGGTGTAACATTCTCAGAACCAAACAAGTCCATGGGAACTTTGGTCGGTTTCGTGTGGATTTTTTCGGGGCGCGAGCCTCAGAACTGGATCGACAGCTGCCAATCTGCTGGACCTCCTGAAATGCCCTTTGGGTAAGATCTCAGAACTTCAATTTTTAAAGAACCCACAGTGCCTTTCCCTTTTCTTGTTTGTTTGGGCTCTCCCATTTTTTCTTTTTTTGGGGGGAACACCTTGAAGGGGGAAGCCAAGCTTTTCTTGGGTCTTTCCGTAAGACCCACCTCGCCGTCTATTTGGCTCGAAGCTTCCAACGCGCGCTGTCCGCGGTTTCCGCTTCTTGGGGCCTTCGCGGCGATGGACTTCACCCTGGGCGCCGCAGGTGGGGTGGAGTAAACGATGGAGGGGGAGCTGGAGCTGGCACTTTTTAAGTCTTTGGTCTTTTGGGCTTCTGGCATTTTCTAGTTGAGGGCGAAGATTTGTTTAAGTGTTTTGTTTCTGACTATGTAGATGTGTCAGGCATCTTCCAGAGGGTGCAAGCCGATGTAAGGAAGGGCAGAGGTGCACACTTTCCTGTGGAAAGTCGGGCTTTTGATGCGGGGAGAACATTTTGCCGGGAAAGGGTTGAGCATTGGCTTGTGGCCCCTTGGATGCTTGCTCATGCGACCCATGGAATCCTGCCCAAGCATTCACCAATACAAACGGTGAGCGACGATTTGCTCATTCGGGCGGGAGGAACCCTCTTAGTGTGGATGGACAACATCAGTTGGGCTGGATGCTTGATTCGAATACTGGTTGATAAAGCAACCTGCCTACTGCACGCAGATTTCGTCCATCCCAACTGGTAGGCTGCTCATCAACCAGTATTTCAGGTAACCAGTGGTGGTTTGGGACTTGAACCGGTTCTTGTAGAGGGAAACTGGGAAACCCAAACCACCAAACCGCCAAACCGCCAAGCCGCCAAACCGCCGGCCCGATCCATCCCTCCCGCGTTCGAAGGCCTCAAGGTCTCGAAGCTGGGCTTCGGGTGCATGGGCATCACCGCCTACTATGGGGCCTCCATGGAGGACATCTGCTCCATGGGGACAAATGGACTGCAAACACAAGCGCGACAAAGAATCTAATTCTAGATGCTTGATTTTGCAAGTTTACATATATGTAATTATGTATATATATATATATAAACATAGGGGGTGACTATTCAAATACACACATATATATATATATATATATACACATACTAGCGTTGGTTCAGCCTGAGGGTCCTTGACCCAATGGCATGCTTTGGCATCTGCCAGGGGATGGTTTGACCCGGCTTGCCCTCGGTGCAAAGAGCTGCGCCATGTTTTCACCGAAGCTTTTCCGTGGATCCGCATGGACGTTGAGCATGTTTGGACCCCCGCACGATTTCCCGAATGACAAAAGTTGGGACATGGCGCTGTCGTGATTGCCATACATGTGTTGCGCTCAGCTCCAAGGTCTTCGCAAAAGGCATCATAGAAGCGGAGTGTGTGTATGTGTGTGTGTGTGTCCGGGGCTAAAGACTGACTACCCTTTTGCCCCTTTGCTCATCACTCAATTTCATTTTAAAGGCCACCCGTCTACGTATGTCCCTTAAACCCGCCTTAGTTTCCCTGCGATGTTTTTCTTTAAGCCTGATTTCTGGGTACCATGGAAAACCCCACCAAGTCTTCCCCCAACCTCCCCCCCCAAACCCACTCCTGGGGTGAGGATGAGCCTGCGATAGAGTTGCTGAAGGCAGTCTATGACATGGGCTACAGGCGATTCCGGTGTGGGCCGGGGCTTGGCATTTGGTCCAAAATAACCCTGCTTCCCAGGGAGTGAGGCAATGACCCCTGTATACCATCCGTCAACATTCAATTGAAGTGAATTCCTAGGGTCATTCCCACCCAGCAAGCAACTTGCTGCTTTGTGTTTGCAGGGAATGAGTTGGAATGACCTCATGGGGCTTCCCAATTGGGTGTGAGGCTCGGTAACCTTTTGTGGGGTTTGGAGGGAAACGAACAGGACACCGCCTATTTCGAGGACCGTTCTTTGCTCAGTCGCTCTTCCCAACGTGGACCGGGCCTGCAAGTGGATTGACAGGGGGTGCGTCCCAAAGTAAAGTAAAGGCTCTCCAACGGGTTGAGTAGTTCTGAGTGTCCCGTTACCAGGTTCGGACGCTTGGAACAGGCTTGCTCCGAACCCTTCCAAGCAAAGAAGTAAATCAGGGCGGTGTCGAAATTGAGTCCAACCATCAAACTAAAGTCACCCTCAAACAACAAAACCACCACACACACAAACACACGCACATACACCCACAAACACCCACAAACACACACGCACAATTATACCCACAATCACACAAACACAACCACAAAACAATCGCAAGCACACACACACACACACACACTTGCACTTACACTTACACGCACACGCACACGCACACGCACACGCACACGCACACACACACACACGAACACGCACACGCACACGCACACGCACACGCACACGCACACGCACACGCACACGCGCACGCACACGCACACGCACACGCACACGCGCACGCGCACACGCACGCGCACGCGCACGCGCACGCGCACACGCACACGCACACGCACGCGCACGCACACGCACACGCACACGCACACGCACACCCGCACGCACACCTGCATACGCACCCGCACACGCACACGCACACGCGCAGGCACAGGCACAGGCACAGGCACAGGCACAGGCACACGCACACGCACACGCCCACGCGCACGCCCACGCGCACGCGCACGCACACGCACACGCCCACGCCCACGCCCACGCGCACGCCCACGCCCACGCGCATGCGCACGCGCACGCGCCCGCGCGCGCGCACGCGCACGCGCACGCGCACGCGCATACCCAAACACACACACACACACACACACACACGCACAGAACTAATTACACATACACACAAACACACAAACACGCGCAAAGGAAAAGCAGAAACACAAGTAATAACACAAACAAGCGCGCACACACAAACACACAAACACACAAACACAAAAACAAGAAAGTCACACACACACACCCACACACCCACCCACGCCAACACACACACACACAAGCACATGCACAGGCACACACACACACACACACCCACCCACCTACGCATGCGCACGCACGCATGCACGCACACGCGCAATCGAACTCGCGCACGCACTCGCACATGCACACACATACAAATACATACACGCACACATACACAACGCACATACGCACAGACAAGCTTGCACACACACACACAGACATACATACAGACATACATACAGACACATACTCACATACACACACACACATACACACGTACACACACACACACATACAGACATACACACATATACACACATACACACATACACACATACACACATACACACATACACACATACACACATACACACACGTACATACACATACACACATACGCACATACACACATACACACACATACACACACATACACACATACAGACACATACACACGTACACACGTGACACATACACACATACAGACGTTCACACGCAGACACATACACACATACATACACACACACATACATGCACACACACACACACATACATACATAGAGACACAGATACATGTACACGCGTCGCGCATACTCACGTACACACAAGCACATACACATACACACACACACGTACGTACACGCATACATTCAGACACATACTCACATACACACACTTACACACATACGCACGTACACACGCATACACACATACACACGTACATACACATACATACATACAGACACATACACACGTACACAAGTCACGCATACTCACGCACACACACACACACATAGACACACATACACACACACGCACACACGTACGTACACACAAAAACTACATTCAAACACATACTTACCTACACACACACACACTTACACACATACGCGTGTACACGCGCAGACACACACATACACACACATGCATACACACATACATACATACAGACACATACACATGTACACACGTCACGCATACTCACGTACATGCACATACACACGCATACACACACATACACACACATACACACACACACGTAGGTACACATACACATACATTCAGACACATACTCACATACACACACTTACACACATACACGCGTACACACGCAGACAAACATACACACACATACATACACACACACACATACATACATACATACATACATACATACATACATACAGACACATACACACGTATACACGTCACGCATACTCACGTACATAGACACACACACACGCTTACGTACACATACACATACGTTGAGACACATACTTACATGCACACACATACACACCTACACATACACATGTACACGCGCAGACACACACACATACATGCGCACATACATACATATAGACACATACACATGTACTTGCGTCACGCATACTCACGTACACGCACATACACACACATACACACACACATGCACACACACACACGTACGTACACATACACATAGATTCAGACACATACTTACATACACACACACACACTTACATACATACGCATGTACACACATACACACCTACACACATAAACACATACATTCACACATACATACATACATACATGCATACATACATACATACATACAGACACATACACAAGTGCACACGTCACGCATGCTCACGTACACGCCCATACACACGCATACGCACGCATACGCACATACACACACACACTTACACACATACACATGTACACACCGAGACACACATACACACACATACACAAACATATACACACATACATACATACATGCATACATACAGACACATACACACGTACACACGTTACGCATGCTCACGTACACGCCCAAACACACACATACACACGCACACACACGCATACACACACACACGTAGGTACACATACACATAGATTCAGACACACACACTTTACACACACTTACACACATACACATGTACACACGTCACGCATGCTCACGTACACGCCCACACACACCTGCACACACACGCACACACGCACATACAGACACACACACACACACACGTACGTAGACATACACATAGATCCAGACACATACTTACATACACACACACACACTTACACACATACACATGTACACACGCAGACACACATACACACATACATACATACATACATACAGACACATACACACAGGGTTGTGGGATCAAGGGGTTTATCCCCACTTCTGTGATACCAGGGAATCCCCCTTTCTATGAACAATTTAGTCTTTGGGAAGCCCTTTCTGTTGTATCATAGAAGTGGTCATTCCCCACGGCCCTGCATACACACGTACACACGTCACGCATGCTCACGTACACGCCCATACACACGCATACACACGCATACACACGCATACACACGCATACACACGCATACACACGCATACACACGCATACACACGCATACACACGCATACACACGCATACACACGCATACACACGCATACACACGCATACACACACACACACGTACGTACAGGTACACGTACATTCAGACACATACTCACATACACACACTTACACACATACACACGTACACACGTACACACGCGGACACACACATACACACATACACACATACATACATGCAGTTCTCTCTTCTGCTGACCTGCCGGCAAGCGGGCGTGGGGGCGCCGGCCAGGCACTTCGACTCGGCTGAGGCGTACAAGTCCGAGACCAAGCACAACGAGGAGTTAGAAGGTTTTGGAGGGCGCCGTCAAAACTGGGGCATCTTTAGTTCTCCCTCAAGTGCCAATCACAAGGGGGTTCATCATTTTCAGAAACTTTTGTGTTTGAGGCCCGGCTTAAAAGGGAAGCCAAAGTGGAAGCCGTAAGGGTTGCACGAAGGAAGCCATGATTTCGACCCACACAAGGAGCGAACATGATACAAATGAGTTTGTTTCAAAATATGGGAACCTGGAAAGCTGGCGGTCTTGCGTTTGATCTCAATTGAAACTCAAAGAAGGCACTCCCAAAAACGACGTGTTTGAAGGGCAGCACGCCAAAAAGGAGAATCTAGGCCAACGAGGTGGATCTTCCACTTTGCGTGTCGCTGTTTGGAAGCAGCGGGCAAAAAAAGGAGTTTCTGCAAGCAACGGGTGTTCAAGCGAGTTTTAAGCCTTGGGGGAGGTGGGCTGGCCCCGGTTTTCGGTTGGAGAGGCCGATGCGAGGAGCAGCTGGCGCTCTTCTTCAAGACGGTGCCACGGGACTCCTACACGGTGGCCACCAAGACGCTTTGGCCGCAATGGGGTCCAGACGAAAGGGGCGCCAAGAAAGGGGAAGGAGTGGAGCCCGTCTACTTGTAGGAGTCAGGCCACTTACAGGCCAGTGCATGTGCACCCAGAAGCTCGATTTGGGAAGGGACCTTTCGTTTCTGCGTGCAATGAGCGGAGACGGGTGTTGGGACGATTTGTTTCCACACATGCGTTTTACACTCGCAGCACGTGTAGCAATTGAAGTGATGGACGGGGGTGCTACTGATGCAATCAAGCTCTGCTCTGCTGATGCGTCTTGTTTGTTTTGTTCGGCACATGTGCTGAGAAGGACAAGCGGCACTCGTGCCGTGGCCTTTTGGCTCAGCCCCTATCCTGCCTTGCCGGCCAAGTGCTCTAGTGTGCCCAGGGCACGAGTCCTCAGCAGCTTGTGCCTTTTGCGGCACCTTCGGATTCCTACTCCATGCGCAAGAGGGCCTAAAGATTGGATGGCTGCTCGAGCGTCGCAGGAGCTGCCCGACACATCAAGGATGCCTACGAAGCAGAAGAGCAAGGGCCTAAAAGGCGATCGGCGAGCTGATGGGCGGTATGTTCGCAGTGAAGGTGCAGATTTGCTTCGCCTGAGCAGTAGCGCCCTCTCCGGTCGCGCCTGAGGGTCTCTTTCCCAGGGGGTGGGAGGTGCTCCAGGATAGGCGCTGGAGTGCCGCTTGTCCTTCTCAGCACATGTGCCGAACAAGACAAGCTGACAACACCGCTTCTCAACCAAGCGGAGACATTCCGACACGGAGTTCAAGACAAACTCGGGCGCGTCACCCTACCTATGTACATGTCTAGCTGCCTTCAGCTCCTGCAATTTTTTCAGATCCTGCTGAAGCTCACTCACTGCCACCTTAGTATGCCTCGCCCTGAGTTCAGAACAAATGCCCTTTGCTGCCAGCTTGCTCCATGCCCGGATGTTGCAAGCGGCGCTTCTCGCACGTATCCCAGAACAGCGTTTGAGCCCCAGCGGCCAAACAAGCAAATCAGCGTTGGATCCATGCCCGCTCTGCTGAGCGCCTTCCACACGAAAGCAAAGACTGGCAGGCCGTCTGCTCAGCGCACTGGCAAGCCACATTTCAGAGCTAGCTCTTCGCCAAGTGGCCCGCAGGTCAGAACCCTCCCTGAAAATGAAGCATGCTTGGCTCGGGCGGTGCTCAGCTCGATTTCTCGCAGTAACCACCATGCGCCAGCTACGATGGAATATTTCGATGAAATGGGCCCCCTGGAACTGGCGCTCTGCGTCGGTACACTGCTGCAATGAAGACAAAGCAAGTCATGCGAAACGTTCGACGGGCCTAACAACTCCCTTGGTTTGAAATGGGTGGGAAACCTCCCCCCGTTCAGCCATCGAACTTCAACCTTGACAACCGGGGGTCGACAGAAGACCGCGCAAACTTGTCCCTTTGAAAGGCCCTCATGGCCTGCTCTCCTCTGAGGACAGATCTGGAAGAAACCCCCTGCTCGGCCTACACCTGCCTGCGCCTGCCAATCTCCGCCGCTGGCTGTTAGCCCTGGCCCTTGCACTGGCCCGCCCTGGCGGTCGCTTCCCCCACTTTGGCCTCGCCAAGGGCGCAAAAGGAAATCTCGAGCTCTTTAGGTTGGCTACGCTTTAGCTAACAACTTTTCAAAAAAAGACAACCGCAAGTCTGCCCCGGCCTGTTCGTCGCATGCAAATCTTTCTCATAGGCCAGGGTCCTCGGGCAGGACACCCCCAACCCCCCTCGCCACCCTGATGGGCGACAGTCCCATCCCTAAGACGACTTGTGAGACGCTGCGGGGCGTGCGCCCGGCTTCCCCTCCTCCACCGCGTGAAGGAGCTGGCCGTGCGCTCGAAATGTGCTCCACTTTGGCCAAGGGTTACTGGGCGGTGAAAAGAGACCCAGCCCAGCTTCCCCTCCTCCCTGCGTTGAAGGAGCCGTCCGTGCACCTAAATCCCTCAAGCGTGTCCATCAGAATGATGATCAAACTCCAGCATTCGCGCGGCCGCCGGTGTGCCTCTTTTTTTTTTGAGTACCTTTGGGGACACAGCGACAAGTTGGCAGAGCACGTCAGCCTCTTCGTTGAGAGCAGCCGGAAGGTGCAACGCAAATGCATCCCCATGGGCAGGCGTCCGTGCACATCTCTCTACAAATATCATCCTGCAGCGGCGCTGCCGGGAAGCCCAATGGTTTGGTGCAAAGGGAACGCGCTGTTTTCCACCAAGCACATGCCGTAGAGAAACGCCTGCACGCAACCCTGCCAGGCGGCGCTTCAATCTGACCGGCTTTCTCTGCTGCGGTCAGCGCTGCCCGCCCAGCTAATTTTCTGGCACGGCCAATGGCGCGGTGCCGGTGGGTTAACAAAATAATTGCAAGTCTGCAGGCACCTGTTCCAGAAAATCTGCAGGAAATATCATTGACACCGCTTTTGCCTCCATGCTTCTCTCAAAGACAACCCCAGTCCAGGAGTGGCTTTCTTGCGTGAGCAAGCCTTTGTGTCACGCCAATGGCATGCCCAGACCATCCACCACATGATAACCAGGGAAGTCACCTTCTCTGCTTGCGCCCGACTTTCCAAGTGCTCTAGTGTGCCCAGGGCACGAGTCCTCAGCAGCTTGTGGCTGCTGGGGAAAGGAGCTTTTGCCCACCCAGCCCCAGCCCACCCTGAACGCCCTTTGAATGAGTTGTTAGCAAGGTTTAGAAAGGTTCGTAGCACCTGTAGCAATTGAAGCAGTTAAGAAGCTGCGTGTGATGGATGGGGGTGCTACTGATGCAATCAAGCTCTGCTCTGCTGATGCTTCTTGTTTGTTTGTTTGTTTGTTTGCTTGCTTGTTTGTTTGTTTGTTTGTTTGTTTGTTTGTTTGTTTGTTTTGATTGATTGATTGATTGATTGATTGACTGATTGATTGATTGATTGATTTGATTTGATTTGATTTGATTTGATTTGATTTGATTTTGATTTGATTTGATTTGATTTGATTTGATTTGATTTGATTTGATTTGATTTGATTGATTGATTGATTGATTGATTGATTGATTGATTGATTTGATGTGATTGGATTGGATTGGATTGGATTGGATTGGATTTGATTTGATTTGATTTGATTTGATTTGATTTGATTTGATTGATTGATTGATTGATTGATTGATTGATTGATTGATTGATTGATTGATTGATTGATTGATTGATTGATTTGATTGATTGATTGATTGATTGATTGTCTGTCTGTCTGTCTGTCTGTCTGTTTGTTTGTTTGTTTGTTTGTTTGTTTGTTTGCACTCTTTCCTTTGCAACGATCACCCCGCAGGGCTTGCTTCATCAGGGCTGTTCCCCACGGGGTTGGCATGAATGAACCAAATTGGCGGTTGACACAAAGGAACCCGGTCCAAAATCAGCTTTCAGAATAGTTAGTCAACTTCTTCAAGAAATCCTTTGGGAGCAGCCGTGAAATGCCTCCTTTTTTTGTCCTAGGGTTGTTTGTTGTCGCACCACCTGCTTTGTTCTGTAGTAAACATCTGCTTTCTTGGGTCAAAACCAGCAAACAGGTTGGTACCAACACCAAAAACAAGGACACCCCAATTTCCCTCTTGGTTTCAAAATGCCCCCTCTTGGATTCCTCATTTAAGGTGAGTTCCACAAGTTTCCATTTCCCCGAGTAACTCCCAAAAAAGACGAGCCAAGGGCTGGTCACCACCAAAAAATAGGTTGGTACCCTCAAAAAAACACCAAAACAGTTGGTACTAGCTCAAAAAAACATCGAACCAAGACGGCCAGGTTCATGCCCTTCATGCACGAGGGCGAGGCGTGCGACTTGGAGTCTCTGACGCAAGCCGTGGACGCCTCCCTGGCGCGCTTGGGCCTCGACTGCTCCTTGGCGTTTGGCGGGAGAAGGGGCGGTTGGGGGGGGGGGGGGGTTTGCCCCCCGCAAAAAAGGACAGGCCAGCAGTGTTTTGTCTCGTAGCATTTTAGTCGTACTTTCTAGGTGGTTCTACCTAGAGTAGTGCCTACATAAACCAGTAGAAGGTGGCTTTCTTGTGCACACCCACACACACAAATTCTTTTGTTTCGTGGTTTGAACATGACTCAGCATGACCTTTGAATTCCTCTGGTTTGTTTAAGCGGCCTTCAGATTACAGGAGAGCCCAAGTCCCCGACTTTCTCAGGTCAAAGGCTGATTGTACAGTTTTGGGGGCGATTTCCCACAATTAAGCCATAACTATCAGTTAATTAAGCCATAAACTAGGGGTTCCCAGGGGTTCACATGTTGACGTATACACTCAGCCTCTGATCAGGACTCAGCAATCGGGCCAGAGCCCCATTCAGATTGGCCAAATCGCACTCAGGCATCTGGCAAAGTCATGAGAAGCCTATCGAAGCCCCGCGGGTTGGAGAGCCAACCCATTTCTGGACCTGTCACCATTTTGGGCTTCGGCTGTCTGACCAGATTCGAGTTTCAGTCAACCCGTGAAGGGGCTTGTGCCAGGGCACATTCAGCTCCAAGTTGACCACTTGGGGAATACATTCTCAGAAAGGGACTGGTAGCCCAACCAACTGGAGAGCAATGCCCCGCTCCACGTCCCTTTTGAAGTACTCTTCAATTCCTGTTACTTGTCGCCAACAGGTCCTGACCTGCTTTGTGCCTTGATGGTTGTGTGTTTGAGGCTCCTTTTCTTAGTTCTTGGGGGTTGTCAGAGATTCAGTAGGCAAGGCTGCGCTTTGCTCGGGTACTTGTCCTGTCTTCGGTTGTATCAATCTCAAGCGGTCAGGAGATCCACAAGTGGGTCCAGTCACAAATGGTCGCTATTTTGCTTGCAGAAACCAAGCGGGTCACACGCTGGGGAGTTTAAACAGCCCACAGTTGAGGACCCAGCAACTCAACTGGTGCTTTGCCCTAGATCGCTGGTGGCCCTCGGAGGTTGCTTGATTCCCCTTTTCTAGCCGGGCCGACTTTGCAACTTTTGCACGTGGGAAACCTGTCTGGGAGCAACAAAGGCTTCAAGCTTCAACCAGCTGAACATAGACGTTCAAGTGTTCCCGCCCTTGAAGGTGTTCCAAAGTGACCCTAGGTTCTCGGAGCAGATGATTTTGGCAAGGGCGCAAAGGAAGCTGTTGCCATTTCACCGGGTTCATCTCCTGACAGACACACAGTACGTTTGGGCAGCGAGTTGTTTTCTTTGTTTCTTCTTCCGTTTTTTTGACAGAAGCTTGAATGAGATATCTTCGTAACGAGGAGTGGCTTTGGCAAGGTAGGAATGCGCTTGCAGCGCACGCTTGCTAAGATGTGGACTTGTACTACTGCCACAGGCTGGTGGGAAGACTTATCATGACCCAGTAAGTACCGTCCATTCGGATCCCGCTAAATGAAAACCCCGGATTAATAAACCCCTGGTTGATTCATTGGGGGGTGTCCCCTTTCAGTGGGGATTAATCACTTTTGGAGGGAACACCCCCCCTAATGGGACGTGCTTATGAATTCTGGGTCAACATTACCTGGGCACCGCTGTCTCGGGGCCTGTGGCCTCCGTGGCTCGAGTCTTCGACACTTGGGGTGGGGTTTTGTGGAAGTTGTCCCAAGCTGTTGGGACAACTCGCGAGCTGGCCATGGGTCAAAAGCCAAATTGGAGTCCCCAGTGAACATTCCAATCCAACCACTGGACTTAAATGGGTGGCGAATTCACAAACCCCAAAATGGTACCATTGGTTTTGACCCACAGCCAGCTATGACAGTTTTTTAGGTGGGGTATTCGGGTTTTCTTTGGGTTGGATTGGAGAGGTCGTGGGCAGATTCTCGAAAGGCTGCCGGTGAATCTCAAGGAAACTTCATGCAACCTCCGGGCAGGGGGGGCTGGTTTGCTGGTGAGTCCAAAGTGAGCGGCCAAATGGGAGTGGAAGCGTCTACCACAGTTTAAGAGATTATAGTGAATCTACACACCCAATATAGGCATTGTGGTAGAACCAACAGTCTGTGGAACTGCAATCACCATGGGTTTTGCATAGGCTCCTTGAAGAGCCTTTGCTTAGGACTGACACAAAACCTCTGAAGGTTTGGTTGCACTTTTGTTCGGCTAGCCACATGTCGTGTAGCTCGGCTTTGGATCGGGACTCAATTCTTTTGAGTCCCGGGGTGATCCGTTTAAAAACAACTACGCACTGATGCCTTGGACAACTTTTTGACCAACCCACAAGTTGAAACAAGGTTTGGTATGCCAAACTTGTCTCACTTCTTCCTTTTGGACCGGAAATATGTTCGTCCCTCGGGAAAAGCGAAGGCTTTTCCAGGATGTCTCAGAAACGGTTGCAGATCACAGATCCCTTATCCCCACTGCTCCAGAGAGGCCGCCCAGCACGCTGGAGAAGGCGGAGCAATGGATGGCATCCATGAAGGAGAATGGAGTGCGGCCATATCATGGGACAACCTAAACGGAAAGAACGCATGCTGCAAGCTGCAAAAAACAACGCAAGGCAACCGGTCCCAGCGTTGTGGACGACGGCGTTGTTTCAGTGTGGTTAAGAACATGGATGGCCCCAGTTTCAGTTCAGCTTGGCGTTTTGCTGCGTGGTGTCCAGCCAGTCGGGTTGGTCCGTGGATCCTTCAGGCCATCGCTCGGCCAGTCAGTCGGGCGGTCGTTCGGTCGGCTCTGAGCCCACCCTAAGCACACGCTGAAGAAGAAGCCTAAATTCACCTCACACCCATTCCAACCCTAAGCCAACCCCAATCCGAAGCACACCTAGACCAACCCACCACCCCCAAACAAACACAAAAAGCCGCAACCTCACCCTGAACCCACCTCAACCCAACACTAATTCTAAACACATACTAAACCACCCATGCAGCAACAGCGCAAGCCAACCTCAAACCCGACAACCCACCCTGAATGAACCCCAAGCCAGCACCTAAACAAACCCTACCAACCCTAAACTCAGCCCTAAACCCACCATGCTAAAGCCCACCTAAACCAACCCTCAACGAACCACTGCAAAGCCAACCCTAAGCCGACCCTGAACTGAACTGACCTAAACTGACGCTGAACTGAGGCTGAACTGACGCTAAACCCACCCAAAGCAAACTCGAAACCAACCCAAAACCTACCCTAAACCAAACCTAAATTCATTCTAAACCTTTAATAACCCCTAAACGAACCAACCCCAAGCAACCGTAACTTCGCGGTAAACTCACTCTGAACTCACCCTAAACTCACCCTGAATCCACCCTAAACAAAACGTAAACCACTCCTGAATCAACCCGAAACCAGCCCTACCCTCCCTACACCCACCAAAACCAACCATGAAGCAGGAGCCCTAAACCATCCCTGAGCCCATGCAAAAGCAACCTTAGACTCACCGTGTAGCAACCCTAAACCCCCAGCCCGCACAAACCCTCAGCCGACCCTACCATACAGATTGTGGATAAGCCGACGCAGGTCTAGAAGCCGATTGATGTTGGGCCGCGGCCATTTTTTTTCTCCCTTTTCTTCTTCAGAAAGTCAAGCGCGGGCAGATGTGCTAAACAAATTGCAAGAGAAGGTGCATAAGATGGTAGACCAGGTGTTGAGTTGGTGGAAAGCAGTCGCGGCCTCGTTTTTCGGTGGCAGGCGTGACGGCATCTTAGAACTCTCAGGCAGTACCCTACCGACGTTTATTTTTTCTATCCTTCGAGGCAGCATGCTTGCGGCAGGGGTTCGTGAGTGCAGCTTCCGTGCTGGTGGAATCCAGGCAGAGCTGAGATCAACCCTTGGAGCTGCTGAGTAGCTTTCAGTTGGACAGCCGAAGTTCGGCGAAAGCTTCGGCCGCGTCTCACGCTGTTTCTGCCGGAGTAAACCCACCCTACACCGCCCTTAAGCACATTCTAAACCACACGGAAAGAACAAGCCCAAACACAACCTCAAGCCCACCCTGCGCTAAGCCAACCCTAAGCCCAGTCTCTACCAACCTTGAGCCAACCTGAGCTAACCAAACCTGAGCAAACCTCACCGCGCCCTAAACCCACCAGCCCCCCCGTAGATGCGCTCTGAACACCCCCCCCCCCCCCCACGTCCCCCCAAAGCTTAAAACCCACCCTAAACCCCACAACGCTGATTAGCCTCTCCTCAATCCCACCCTAAGCACGCTTAATTCTACCCCAACTCCACGCCAAACCCCGCTCTAAAGCCTCCAAGCCAATCTTACTCAACCGCACACCTCCCAATCCAACCCTACCCTGTCTGGGCTTGTTTGTGTGTTGCTTGCTTCAGAAAGTGTTCCCCAGCTGGACTCTGTTGCATGTATATATATATATATATATATAACACCTCCAAAACTGATCCTTCTGCAGATTTTGTTGTGTGGTGGAAGCAGGTGTGCTTGAAGCAGGGAAGGTCCTTGCGGACTGTATTTTGCAAACAAACGTCTTCAACAAGTGAAGCCGCTGCCGAACCTAGGAAATAATCCCGCCAAACCTCGGGAAAGCGCATTCACCCCTCCACCCTGAAATGAGCCACAATCAAAACCTGGGTAGATGAAGGTGAGTGAGGGACAATCCCAACCATAGCTGCGGCCGCCTTCTTAGTTCTTTACATGGTTCTGGGTAAACAATGTTGACTACCGGGTTTTGATTATGTCTCAAATGGGGATCTTTCAAGAAGAGCAAGAAGTCAAAAGGGTGGGCACGCTGAGATGGAAGAGGATTCCGATGTTTCCTGCTCAATTTTTGAGCCGGATGAATCAACCTAGCTTGGTGTTCACCCCCGCAAAACAATTATCCTATAACACAACTTTATTGATGAGTTGTTCCCAGCAAGGAATATAGGGGAATGCCTACACCCTAAGATGGTCGGGAAGGGAGATTCCTGTACGGGTTCAGGTGTGAGCCCCTGCAAAGTGACTCATTTTTCCGTAACTTCCCTTCGGCTTCCTCTTTGAACGCAGGAGAGACGGAGCAATTTGTTCGTCTGAGCTTGCGAAGGTTCTTGCCAAAGGAACCCCATTTGAGGGTGTCCTGGGCGGGGTGGGCCCTGAAGACTTGTTTCAGGAGATCGTGAAGTCGGGGAAGGTGCGGCACGTGGGGCTCTCGGAGTTCTCTCCTGACTGGGTGCGCAAGCTGCACGCCATCCACCCAGCGCCTCGGAGAGCCGATTCGAAGGGGTGGGGTGGGAGGTGGGGTGGGAGGTGGGGGGGGGTTGGGGGTGGGGCTGGGGTGTGGGGCTGGGGGGTGGGGCGGCGGGTGGCCGCTTCAGGGTTTGATCCCACTTCCTGAAGCCTGCTTACTCAGCTGGCTGTGGGTCCAAAACATTTTGGGGTAGGTGAATTCACCAGCCACAGAGTCAATTTTAGTGGGTTGGGATGTTCACTGGGGATACAATTTGGCTTTTGACCCATGGCCAGCTAAATTCCATAGCAGGTGCATCATTTCTTGCTTCTTGCACCCTTCGGGTACTCACCATGTCGGCATCACAAGTTGCTCACTTCGCAGATGTTTTGAAAAAGAGCTCGGTCTTGCAGCCCAAGGGCGTGGGCACAGATGAGTGATATCCTTTGGAATTTTCCTCAACGCGCATCAACGTGTATACCGAGCCGCTCATGCAACTGCCAACACCTATGTAGCCTGGGTCCCCCAGTAGTGCCCTTTTACCTGTTTTTGGGGGAGGGTTCCCCTACCAAAATAGACTGTTGAAAAAAGTTGGTACCCTTATTCCAATCTCTCTACTGGAGGACCTAGTAGGTAGTTCTTATCATCTTCAGCACTGGCTGGACTCGGCAGTTCGGCTTGCAGGTGGCGGCGATTCAGATCGAGTGGAGCCTCGTGACCAGGAGACCAGATCTGGCATCAAGTTGGTAAGGAACGCCTGCCAAAGATCCAAGCGGGTTTGGGACACCTACAAGTTGACCCACTGGTTTTTGCTTTTGCCATACTCTCCAAAGGTCCACAGGCAATCTACCCAAAAGGCTTTGGCTTCGCAGGGTGGATGGACGAACTATGCTTCTCGTGAGATTTGCGCTTGGTCAGAATCAGTGGCAGAATACAGAGTCCATGTTCTTCAGAGTGTCCTGTTGGCTGAATCTTTTGCGGAGGTGTTTCAGGCGACAGAGCTCGGGCTTTTCAGAGCCGTAGGGCCGGGATGCCGGATGCACGTAGACCCCATGTTTCGCCCCCATGTGGGTGTCTCCAAAGGAGTTGCGGCATTTGGGTGTGTTTTTTGACACACAAAGCATGGCATAGTTCCCTATACCCTCTTTGGCTTGCATGGCCTTGCCAATTTCTGGCTGACATTGGGGTGTTTTCTAGGGCTGGACCCCGTGTTCCCCCCCCTCCAGGGACCCCCCATGGTGTGGTTTTCCTCTCCAAAGGAGTGGCGGCATGTGGGTTCTTGACAGCGCCCTAATGGGTTGGTCTCCCCTTGGGCTTTTTTCCCGTCAAAAAGTTCACCCGTGGGCTTGCGGAGGCCAGTGACGTGGCCTTCGCTAGCGAAGTCAGGTCCCAGGAACGGCAGGGATCCATCTGGTGAAACAGGAGAGCTGTAATCTCCAGCTCATCTTTTCAGGGATTCGAAATCGGACATCTTCACCGACGTTCAGAAAAGATGGATGTTCTGCGAACAGGATGGAGGAGTCTCTGCAACAACTTGGCACCGGAGGAACATTTTCCGTAACGGGACTGGCCCCTTCAGAAGGGAAAGCTGTGCCATCATACAGTGGGGTTTGATTGCGGCAAGCAAACAGAATCGCCTGGATGGAGGTGGATCATGTCGGAGTTTGGAAGACGAAAGCCACCCTCTTGAAAGGGCTTCTGGTCCACTTCCAAGTTGGAAATAGAGGGTAATATTTCAGAATAATATTTGGATCAATGATGCTGCGTGAAGATATCACCGGATCAACGGCAGCCGCCAACCGGCTGGAGGAACCTCGTGGAGGAGTTCCTGCTGGATTGCTGCAAGGATGGGAAGGGGGAGCCGGACTCCTCCAACCAGATCTGTTCCCTTAAAGCTAACCTCCCTTTCTTTTTATGCCTCCTGGTGTCATTTTCTTCAGATCATGTGCACTTCTCTCTCCCTTTCCTGTCGTCAATTCACCCAGCCCCTGCAACAAGGTCGTTTATGTATCTATGTATATACATATAGGTACACATACATACACGTACGTTTACATATATACACATATATATATATATATATATGTATGTAAACGTACGTGTATATACACAAACACACACACACACACACACACACGTGCGTTTACATGTTTACATATATATATATATATATGTATCTACATATATACACACGTGCGTTTACACACATATATATATATATATATATACACGGGTGTTTATATATATATACACACACGTGCTTTTTTTTAATTAAAATAATAATAATAAATAAATGCATATATATATATATATATATATATACACCTACACATGTATATACACGCGTGTTTACATATACATACATACATACATACATACATACATACATACATACATACATACATACATACATACATACATACATACATACATACATACATACATACATACATACATACATACATACATACATACATATGTATATACACACGTGTTTACATAAATCTACAAAGACACGTGTGTATATATATATATATAGAACCATTGCATCAGCTTCTTTTGCCCCAGTTCAAACGGGGCATACCGGCAATCGCATGGACCACCACCCCCGCCGCCCGGCCGCCGCGGAAGTGTCCGGCCAGGAGCTAGGCATCGGAGTGGTGGCCTACTCACCGCTGGCCAGCGCTTGGGACCGCCCTAGAAGGCTACCCTCAAAGAAACACGCAAAGTCACTGGGGCTCGTGTGTGTGTGTGTGTGTGTGTGTGTGTGTGTGTGTGTGTGTGTGTGTGTGTGGGAGGATGCCAGTTTTTTCTTCTTCCGCTCTTTTTTTCGTGTCAAAGGAAAACCCGAAGCAACGGTCGTTCTTCAAATGCAAAAGAAACCCAAGCTCATTTTTGGACATCCCCAATCTGTACAACCCACTTCGGAGTTTCAGAGGGGACCGTAGAAATCTGAGGGGTTCTCTAAAAATGAGCCGTTTCCCCACTAAGAAAACTGGTTCGTTGGTTTATTGATGGATTGGATTGGTTTGGATTCGATGGGATGGGATTGATTGGATTGGTTTGGTATGCCGACACGCTTGCCAATTCCACTTCACTCAAGGAGCAAGTTGTTGTTGGTGTTGCTCTTTCCGAGCAGCTGCCTGTGGTTGAGCTTGTGATGTCCGTTTGCCTGGTTTTTGAGTTCTTCGGCTGGTCGGCGAAACGCCCAACGCCCAACGCCGGCAACGCCTCGCTCCGCCGGCTGAGGGAACCTGCTGGCGGCAGCGCCGGTGGAGGTGCCCACGGACTGGCGCGCGGCGCAGCCCAGGTACAGCGAGGAGAACTTGAAGCAGAACCAGGAGCTGAGTCGTTGATCGCTATGTAACGGAACTTTTTAGACCTTAATCTTGTGCGGCAAATCAATTTGGTTTTCCGTAAGCCCACAAAAAGTGAAACTCACTTTTTGTAGAGGGGTCGTTGCAGCAACCAAGATTCGTTGAGGGTTCTGGGGTGTTTGTGCGATCCTTTTGAGGGCTGAAAGCAGCAAACACTGTTGGGCAAAATGGGTTGCGAGGGAAGGTTTGCATGCTTGCATCCTTGTGCGTGCGTCAAACCTGCTTGTCTCCCTGTCACCCTCCCACCCTTGGTTTCGCCTGGTCCACGTGCTGGCGCGCGTGGATGTGGGGCTCTGCTGCCACCTGAACTGGGTGCCAGGTGGCAGCATGATGCATCGCAAAAAAGGGGTGCACTGTCGGCAACTGTGTGGGAAGGCAAGGTTTCGCCCAGACGAACAGAGAAAGATGCCAGGAATATCTTGTGCCCTGTTTTAGAACACACGTCCGGGCGTATCAAAACAAGCTTTGGGCCTAATGCAAAAGGTTGACGTCGCGTGAGATATTTTTTGCGGGCTGCTACTTGGCCCGACCATGTTGCCCCTTTGTTTTGGCGAACTCATGTTCAGCCATTGACAAGCGACTCTTCGATTTTCCGGGTCCAAGTCCGATGCATCCGATTTGGGCCACTGTGAGAGCTACAGTTTCAATTGCTTCAGTTGGTTTCAGCTTCCCAGAGGGTTCCCTACGTTTCCCACACCACCCCGCCAGAAGGAAATTCGCTTAAACCCCCCAAAGTTGATGTTTCAAAACTCACTCTCACCAAAAAGGGGGCATAAAGGAGACCAAAAGGACAACTGGAAAACGCTCCTTTTCTAACTCACCCATGGGTTCCACTTTGTTGACCACCCAAGGCAGACTTGTTGAAACCCGGGGAAAACACAAATCAACCACTTGGGGTTCAAGCCTCTAATCTTTTCCCTTCCAAAAAACAACGCGCGGTGGACAAGTCCCAGGCGCGCGCCGAATCAGCGAGGGAACCGCAGCCGCCGGGGGCCTCGCGCTCCGCGCTTCGCGTTTCGCGTCGCTTCGGACTCGCCGCGTCAGGAGCTGCTGAAGAAGATCGAGGCCATGGCGGAGGCCAAGAGCGTCACGGCCGCGCAGCTCTCGCTGGCCTGGCGCCTCGGGCGTCGAGAGGAAGGAACACGGCCTTTTTTTGGGGGGTTTCCCTCAATTTGCCCATTGCAAGCAGAAGGCTTGCTTTGGGTGTGTTCTTGCTTGAACTCGTCGTTTGGGCGAAACTTACATTGCTTGACACACGGTTATCTTGTGCCTTGGGGTTGGATTCATGGACTGGAGGCTTTACTTCAAGGCTGAGCAGCTGGGCCTGAGCATGATCGCCATCCCGGGCACCACAAAGATTGCCAACGCCAAGACGAACCTGGCGGGGTGAGGGGAAGGAGGGGAGGGGCCTAGTGAGCTCACCGAGACGGGGATAAGGCGGGCTCGCCCATGACGAGGGTTTCTTGAGGATTCCTCGTTTCTGGTTTATGATTGCTAGCAATTTGGCCAGACATAATTACAGCTCCCCCCCTGTCCTTTCTAGCCCTCTTACACAGAAGGAAGCTGCTGGTAGTATTCACATCCCTTTTGTCTTGTCTTACCATGTTCTGGTGTATTTCCGTGTCTTTGTTATTACCACCAGCACGAATCTCGCGTGGAAAAGACATCTTCAACCCCCGCACTGCATCTTCCCCGGGGGCCACCAGTTCAGATCTGGGTGCCGGGCCCCGGGGCGTGCACAATCCTTAGATCTGGGGTTTCCAAACATTTTGGCTAAGTGTGGTATGCATATCTTTCCCGATTCCCGCCCTTTTTCTACTCATTTGTTTCTGCAAGTGCGGGAAACCCCCCTTAGGTGACTACGCAATGCGGCTTTCAGGTCAAAAACGGTTGGCGGACATTAAGCTGGATGTACTTTCGATGCCCAAGCACCCAGCAAGTTGACGCCAGTTGATCAGAAAGGGACACTATTGATTCGTTGATTCCCGGCTTTTCACGGAGCCTGACTGATTGCGGGTTGTCTTTTGTAAGTACCCATTTGAGGTGTCAAAACCGACAGGTATTTGAAGTGTCCAAACGACCGGACCCTGCAAAGCTTGTGCGTTTTACTGGAAGGGAGGTTTTCGCCTTTTTATCCGCACGAGGCGAGCCTGGGGGTGGCGCTGACGCCGGAGCGGCTTTTGAGATCGACCACGGAAAAGATTAAACAAAAAAAACAAACTCCACCAAAATCCGTGTTGGGTCCAAAGAAAAACACACCCAAATGCATGGTGTCGAGATCTTATGTTTTCCTTCTGCCCCTTGTGGGTCGTTTGTTTCAGGGTGGCAGGGTTGGTTTCCATGACTCGGATGGAGATGGCGACGGGCCTGTTTGGCTGCGTGGCAAAACTCCAGGTGTTTCCAAGTAGTTGGTTCCCTCATGAAACTGTCCCTTTGCCATTGGCATGTTGTATGTGACTAGAAGAATAGGCAGTTGATGAAGGGGACCGTCCAATCATGTTCAGGGTTGCTCGCACATTCAGAAGTGGAAGAACCCTGTGGCTCACACGAGCCTTTGCTGCCAACTTGTGCCAATTGCTCTGAAATCAGGATATGAGGACATGAGTTGCCCACTGGGGTGTCCTATTCTCACGGAGAGAGATGGGAGAGAGGGAGAGAAAGAGAGATAGAGAGAGAGAGAGAGAGAAGGCCCGGGTCAGGGAACGTTCCTCCAAAGCAATGAAGGAAGAAAGGGAGAGAAGTTGTGGAGCCAGCACTTCGGATGGTCCCGCTGACCAATGAGGTCACGGCCTGGGGTCTTGGGGTTGTTTGGGTGGTGGACGATTTCAAGCGGCGGGGGGATCCATAAACGGTTTTACTTGTGGTGGCTACTCCGGGCACATGGATAGGACACATGTTTAGGAATCTCTTGTATAAGAACCTCTAGATTGTAGCATTGAATCTTGTCTCATCATTGCTAGCCTTAGCTGTTGTGCCGAAATGCCCTGGTGCCTTTGTGGGATTCCGTCCTTTTCCCACACCGATATCAAACCATGGAAGTGACCATGTGCAGAAAACCCCTGTTGCTTCAGGTACCATGGCTTGGCCAGAATGGTCGCTTTTGCCGTCTCAAAAGCGCCAGCTTGAAACCCGGGAAGGGCAAGCCTGCTAAGACCCGCTGTTCTCCTCTTGACTGCTATTGGGTTGGATCTTTAGACTTTTTTGGTTGAAATAAAGGGTGTTTTCCACTAACCCCCCCCAACAAGTGATTCACTTTTCGCGGGGAGGGGTCGTTGCAGCAACCAAGTCCTTGTTTCCGTTTCCCGGTTGCGGCACCCCCCACCTTTTGCCAAACTATCTCCATGTCCGTGAACTCCCTTCCCCGCTGGAGTTTGGGAAGTTCCCAAGGCGACGGCATAGAGTGCACAGCTTCAACAGTAAAATGAATCGATTTTTTTTTGGGGTACCACTTGAGCCGTTCCGTGGACACCAAAAACATGGTGGTTTGGATTGGTAGGATTTGAACCCCTTCTTCTGGGGGGTTTTCTGGGAAAGCCTGACCAACCCAAACCACCAACCCAACTTGGTTCTCAGCTGGGAATGGACTGACGCCCATAAATTCAATCCATCTTCTGGTTTCCTTTCGGGATTTCCTCAAAACAGATTCATTCAACCAAACACCCGGAAACTCGGTCTGACCCCCACCAATTCCATCCCAAATGGTTTCCTTTGTACGGGAAGAAATGGAATGACCCCAAGATACAACTAGACTACGGTTGGCCCGAAAGCATCACAGCCCGGCGATCATTCCCGCGCAAGGTTTTGCTCGATGTGGTCACGAGCAACACACAGCAACTAACCTTGTTCCTGCTATCTTGCCACCTATCGGACCGCCCCTCACACGAGTTTGCCAAGCACGTCAAAGATGACACATACCGCCCTCGAGCAAAACAGTGACTACAACGCAAGTGACTCTCATGACTCTGTGCAATGACTCTCATGATGATTCTGTGCAATGACTCTCATGATGATTCTGTGCAATGACTCGCACGATGACTCTGTGCAATGACTCTCGTGATGACTCCGTTCAATGACTCTTGTGTGATGACTCTATGCAATGGCTGTCATGATGACTCTGTGCAATGACTCTTGTGTGATGACTGTATGCAATGGCTGTCATGATGACTCTGTGCAATGACTCTCATGATGACTCTGTGCAATGACTCTCATGATGACTCTGTGCAATGACTCTCATGATGACTCGGTGCAATGACTCAGCCATGGGCCATGCGTCGGTGGCAGCATCACCCACCCTGGTATCGCTGGATACCTTGAGCAGCACCATCCACAAGGTGACGGTCGAGGGCCGGCTCGGGTTCGTGTGACTTGGCCGTGAGGTGAGGAGGACGCCTGGTTCATGCTTCGAGGGCAGCAGCAGCATGCCATCCGGTGATGGGCCCCGATGCGCCGCCAACGGATGGTGCGGTCGCTGCCGGCACAACCGTGAATCGCCCCGATGCCCGCTTGCCCATGACTACACAACTCTGATGGCGCCTGGACAGGCTACAGCGCAGTAGTGATGCTTCACATGGTCCATGGCAAACCCCGCTCATTCCCCTCCCGGCCACCGCCCGCGGCCTTGCGCAGGCGCCGGGCTTTCGCGAAGATGTCTGTTGAGCTTCAGAGGGCCGAGCCCACCGGCGCACCAAGGCCCTTGGAGAAGCAAATGCTCACCTTAGCGTTTCTTCGGCTTGTGGGTTGCTTGTTGCGTATTGGGGGTCGGGGGGGTGGGGCTTGGAGGGGCTCGGGGCCCGGAAGGGGGGTTCAAGATGACTCTGAGCAAAATGCACCTTTGCTCCATGGCAGTGCTGGAAGAGAAGATCAGGCTGAATGTGAGCTTGCTAGCTCCGCTTCACTCCGAAGGCTTGCGCTTCTTTGCGGATAGATGGCGCGAGCTCACGGTGGAGCAGAAGCTTGGTTGCAGTTCATTCGTGGTTTCTTCGCGTCAGGGCTGGGTTGAACTGCGCGCGCTGTGTTTTTGTGTTGTCTCCGTCGAGGAGAGCATGGCTTGCGAGATCTTTGGACGTATTGCAGTTCCTTCCAAGCCTGCAGTCTCATGTGAAGACGCTCAAGGCGAACATCCGCAGCGTGAAGTCTGCTCGCTTGTGTTGGCGCCAAGATGAGCGCGGAATGCAACTGGTAATCGCTGACAAAAGCTAAGCAGTGTGGTTTTGCAGCCAGGTTCGGCGAGGCAATGTGCGGACAGCAGTGAAGTAGGACTCCTATGTTCACTGCATGAATATGTCGTGCGTGTGTGTCGCCCTGGTGTATTAGGGGAAAAGGACATGCCGCAATGCTCTCATGATGACTCTGGGCAATGACTCTCATGATGATTCTGCGCAAGGGCTCTCATGATTCTGGGCAACGACTCTCATGATGACTCTGTGCGATCACTCTCGTGATGACTCCGTTCGATGACTCTTGTGCGATGACCCTATGCAATGGCTGTCATGATGACTCTGTGCAATGACTCTCATGATAATAATTCTCCCAACGGAACACCTGACTTTTGGTCTGCCCAAGTTGCCCTGCGCTTGCTGCTATGTGCAAGTGCTCTGTGCAATTTGCTTTGCGCAGGTTGCTCTGCGCAACGGCAGCGCTCTGTGCAAGTTGCTCTGCGCAAGTGCTGCCGAAGCTTTCGGGAAGTACTTCGCATACTAGTTTTCTGATTGAAAACTTCCATTGTGCAGCCGGAGCTGCAGGACTGTACTCCGCGTACTACAGTTATGCTTAAAAGTTGCGATTTTCGTCCGCGTACTACGTTTGCACTTAAAAGTTGTGATTTCTGTCTAGAAAAGCTTCCGCGGATCGACCCCGCGACCGCGCGACTCCGAGAGCAGCCGCGCAATCCACGCTTCGACGCACGATACTCGCAGAGGGTCGCGCGAGCATTTTCCTAATCGAAAAAATCCCGCAGTTTTTGCACATCGACCACGCCGATCCCCGCAGAGGGTTCATCCTGGCAGAAATCGTAAAAAGTCCGCAGTTTTTTGACCTCGACCACACGAATCTCCGCAGAGGGTCGCGCGCGCACCGCAGAAATCGTAAAAAAAATCCGCAGTTTTTTGACCTCGACCACACGAATTGACAACTCGTCATGAGGGAGAACTCTCATGAGCATTGCTCCTCGCCAGTGACTCTCACGAGCATTTCTCCTCGCAAGTGACTCTCACAAGCAGTGCTCCTCGCCAGTGACTCTCACGAGCATTGCTCCTCGCAAGTGACTCTCTGCTATGACTCTGTGCAATGACTCTCATGATGATGATGACTCTGTGCAATGACTCTGATGATGATGCTTTTTTTTTGCAATGATTCTGATGATGATGACTCTGTGCAATGACTCTGATGATGATAACTCTTTGCAATGACTCTGATGATGATAACTCTTTGCAATGACTCTGATGATGATGACTCTGTGCAATCATGATAACTCTTTGCAATGACTCTCATGATGATGATGACTCTGTGCAATGACTCTGATGATGATAACTCTTTGCAATGACTCTCATGATGATGATGACTCTGTTGGTGCTGATTGATAACTCTTTGCAATGACTCTCATGATGATAACTCCCATGAATCCAACGGAAGAACACTTCGCCATGCTTTCGGGAATAAAACAATATCAACATCATCATCCCATCCCTTCCCTTTGGTGGTGCCCCCCACCCCCCCCGGTCCTTCGGGCCATTCCCCGCCTTGGCCCCCGCCGCTCGTCGCGTGGCGCCAGGAGGACGCCGCGGCGCTGGAGGCCTTGGCCTCCGCGGTGGCCGGGGACCGCGGCAACGAGCGGCGCCTCGGAACCGGCGGGGCCGGCTGGCAGTTGGGGAGGCGACCAAAACTGGGAATGTGGTTGGAAGCCTGGAAGGGAGACAAGGAGCACTCCAAACTTTTTTGTTTTTGTTTGCAGGGAAGTTTGGAAGGTTGGAAGTTTGGGAGGGGAGCTCTCCAAACTTTGGAAACTTTGGGTCTTGAGTTTGTAATTTCTGAACCACACTTGTTTGGGGGGGGGCGAGTGGGGCTCAGCCCGAGACAACCTGAAGAGACAACCCAAACAAGTTCACGTGAGGTTTCGTGGCAGAGGAAAAGCTCTTCCGGCTTCCCAGCCTAGGTGTCAGATACAGTGACTCAGGAGGATTCCCCCGCACATGTTTGGAAGGATCACGTATTGCAGGGTCTCATGTTGCCTTTTGCAGGGGGGGTTGTCCAGCTTGGTGCAATGTTCGGGGGGGAAGTACACTGACTGGTGAAAGGTCGAGGACTTTCAGGGAAACCGCATGTTAGGCTTTGAAACTTAGTTCCGACTGTATATACATACATATATCTACAAATACACATATGTATACACATATATATATATATACACAATTCCTTGAAAGGTGTGAGCACATCACTGTTCGCAAGAGCCAATGTAAAGTCATTCTGGGTGCCCTCTGCTCACTTTTTGCAGACGAGGTGTTCTTCAGAAGGGTGTTCAATCGCTTTCAGTGTTCGCAGCTGGTATTGTCAGAGGGGGAATGCTTGTTGGGTTTATCTTGCCGATGAACGCACCTCCCAGCAATCAAACAAGAAGTGAAACCAGCATGATTCTGAGAAACATCGATAACAGTGTATGTTTCTCAAGTAATGCTAACCCCGGAATAATCAACGCCTGGTTGATTAATAGGGTGGTGTCCCCTTTTAGTGGGGATGCATCACTTTTGGAGGGAACACCCCCCTAATAATGGGACGGGTTTATCAATCCTGGGTCAACATTACTGGCTTACAGCATGTTGGGAGATCATGATATGGTCCAAGCTTTGCATGGCATGGAAGGACTGGATCACACTTTGACTCGAGGCAAACATGGAAAGGAGGGGGTCGGTGAAGAACCGCCAAGATGGTGTTTGGCATTGTTTTTCGTTCGGATGCGAAGCCCTACATGTGAGGTCACGGAAGTGAGAATAACCTCACAAAACCCGGGGGACTAGCTAGGGGCTTCCCCTGAAATCATGAGGGCTTGCCTTTTCTAAAGTTTTGTAGGTTCCACTTTTTTGTCGGCCGCGTCCCATTATCGGTAGTGAGTTTGAGCCTGAAAGCCCTTGTTCCACACTGAATTTCAGCTTCCCACTAACTTGATGGTTGGGATTGGTTTGGGGATTTGAACCCCTGCTTCTTGTAGAGGGTAAATGGGTTTCACCCCTCCTTCACCGCCAAGCCACCGGGCTCCAAACCACTAATTAGTGGGAGTGCAGTACGAGCTTTGGATGCTTGGCGATGATTGGTGGCTGTTGGTAGGGCCAGATTTGATACCAAGGGCATCCAATGGAACGCGACAACGTAGTGGGGATGGGAATCAACGGCTTCGGGATGGGATCAGATCTGCAGGAGTCAGTACCTGAGCTGTTCTTTCCTGCCCTAAGACAACAAGGCTTACTTCTATTTTGCAGTGACTGTATTGTCTTGAAGTTGGTTTTTTAGAAGAGATGACCACGTCGGTCGACGATTTGCCTTTCTGGCGGAAGCTGGCCATTCTTCCCGTGGAACATCTGAGTGAGCCGGAGTCAAGCGAAGCATCCGTTCCGAGGTACCTCACCATGTCCATCGAGGGCAACATGACGAAGTCCACCTAAAGCCACAGAGTGAAGCTGAAATCCAGCGCTTCATGACAAGTTATGGGTGTGGTTTTGAGTTGGTACCTTGTTGGTTTGTTTTGAATGGCAAGAAAAAGCCAAAGAGGGCATCACCACCTTGGCTGGCGCCGATTGGATTTTCACGACGGCGCACGGGTGCAGAAACTTGCGTCGCGCACTGGGCGGCCGCGGGCCGTTTGAGCCACCGGCCGGCCCGCGGAATTGATTTCAAGCCTTTGGATCTTACTTGGAGATCAGGGCTTCGCTTCCGGCGATTTACGGGGTGCTCGCGGCGAAGAGCTGTTTCTTAATCTCTCAGGTAGCAGGGTGTGTTAGCTAGACTTGGCGCACTTTCACCTGATTTGATGGGCATCAATTTCCCATTGACCAAATTGATCTGTAATTCTGATCAAGTAACACGGAACTCTGTCCCTGGTTTCCACCATTTTGAAGTGGACAACATTTGTTTGTCAGGTGCCCTCCACATCGACATGGTCTGGTGCGCGGACATGTTTTGGAAGACTGCTTTCCTTTGAGTGCCTCATTCTTTGCCCATGTTTTTTTCCCCCCCGATTGTACAACATCATACAAGTCAGTTTGGTCCTGAATAACAAGGGACTGGCCCACTCTTCCCAATTTCGAGGAGATGTGGCGAAGTGTTCGTTGAAGGAGATGTGGTGATTGTTGCCGTTGCTTCACAACAGGAAAGTCGTCCAACTCCAAATCAGTATCCAATCGTTGCGCGCTGTGGCCACGCATATCCGTATGGCGGTAATTTTTCAGCTTGGTTTAAAGGAATGCCATCAGGCAACATGTAAATTTAATTTCGCCCCCTCCCCCCCACCCCCTATAAATCATCAACCCCCCCGCCCGGCCCGAAATCCAGTTTCGGGGTTCCGATTTTGACACCTCCCCTCTTCAATGGCCGTGACTTCGCTGGCAAACGCTTCGGCAAAAGCGGCGAAGGGCTGCAAGGGCGCGCCACGTGCAGCGCCGTCCGGTTTTGGCGCGCGGCAGGACCCGGGCAAAGGGAGCTTGCGCGCGCGCAGGGGTGCAGCTGAAGGATAGACTCGGATAGACCGTCGATCTGACAGGAAGCTCCTTCTTGCACAAGAGGAAACCAATGCTTCGGAGGGGTCCCTAATCTTCAGAAGCATGTGTTTTTTTGGGGTGGGTCAAATTGTGGTGACTACTCAAAGGGATCCGCCTTTGTCTACCTCCATGCAGGTTCCTTCACACGTGGGTTGTCCTAAGTTCTGGAATCCTCCAAAGCTCTTAGTCTGGGACTTGGGTTCTGCTTTGGACCCTCACAACGAGCAACCATTGTGAGAGAAGTGCAGAAACAAGCCTTGCCTCAGCAAGGAATGAGAATTGGAGTGACCCCAAGAAAAGCCATCCCCTGTGGTTTCCCTTATTCGGGAATCCCCAACACACCCGGACTCGGTCATTCCCTGCCTATCGCACCAGCAAGAAGCCCGCTTTCGTCCAACGACAGCTGTGCAGGCCGCTTTGAGAGCTACCTGGCACACATGGCCCGTGACGGCGCCTGGGGCGACCATGTGACATTGCAGGCGAGGGTCTGTGCCGTTGCAACCTCAAATGCCCCAGCAGCTTCTGACGAACCTCCTTTCTTTTTCGGGATCCCCCTTTCTAGGGGCATGCCCCCCCTTTAGGTACCAACATCCCCACTTTCTCAGGGGGAACTTCATCATTTCCAGAAAAATCCTTTCCACCAAACCTCCAGAGACTCAAGGGAAACAGCTGAAGGGGACGCCATTGGCAGGTCACGCAGCGAAATGTGAGACTATTAGGGGCCAACCGCTCGCGCTTTTGCCACAAACTGTGGATGGGTGCAGGAATGCTCAGTCATTCTTATCCAACTCAGCTGGTCGCTTTTTTGCCAAGTGGGTCAACATATTTTTCCTGTGGTCTGCTATGGCATTGCGAAATTCGACGTCACGCCCAATTCTGAGGCCCCCAGTCAAGCCGATGGATGTTCGCGTTTCTGAGGCTTGATGCACTTTTCAGGTTTAGCGGAAGCAACAAGGAAGCCCAAATCCGTTTGGGTCTTTAATGTGCGATGCTTCCGGGCTCATGCTTTGGGTGTCCGGTCAAGTTTATGGGCTTCCTATATTTCCCAACTTTTGCTCTTGGGGCGAATTGAACTGGAGTTGCCTCTTGGGGTGATACCAGCCTTTGGGACACGGTGTCATACCATCACATAGGTGTAGCCGAGGACCAGTTTTCAAGCGCCCACCTGGAATGCGTTGCTGGAAGTAGCGCGGGAACCGTCCATCTAGAAGCGGGAGGGGACGTACTTGCTTCTCCCCACACCGCGAATCTTTCCGAAGGAGGTTTCTTTGACATTTGAGCAATCCAAAACTAGGTCCCCCAGTAGTGCCCTTTCACCCTTTTTTGGGGGAGGGTTCTACTAAAATAGACTACAGACAAACGGGAACCCTTATTCTAACCTCTCTGCTGGAGGACCTAGAAAAGGTTTGTTGGGTTCCATGCTGATCCCCAGAGTAGCCCATGCGCAGGCGGCCGCAGACGTGTTGGGCGTGAGGACAGGGGGATTCTTTGTCCGGGGGAAGTGGGCCAAGGCAGCAGTTGAACACGCCGCTCTCGGCGAATTGATGGTTGGGCCGGGTTTTGAAACCATTTTTGGGGCTCCCCAACATTTTGACAGTCGCACACCTATGTATTTCTGGTGCCCAAACGGTCTGCCAATGGACCTGTTGACCTGTTGGCTTCCTGTCTTTGGTCATGGCGACCTGAAATGTCAGACTTGTATTTCTGAGTCTGCTTCTGACCGCCAGGTGGACGACGAATTCAGATTCCGTCTCTGCTTCGCTATGCTGGCCTTGTCTTTTCGGCCAATTTTCTCTGGGATTGAAAAAGGCCACTTGGAGATCCCTGCCCAGGCATCTCATCAGGGTATTGCCGCATTTAAACCAATTGATCTGCAGACACCACATGTTGTGTTGTTTTTCACTTTGGCCATCTTTCGGGCAAGCAAAGACCAGCATCCAGCAAATCAACCGAATCACCACTTCCTCAGAGGCAGGCAAACAATAGTCCAAACATTAGTCGTGAAGTTTAAACGTTTTTCAAGAAGCGCCCAACGGCCAAACCTGGAGTCTGATTGTAGAAAGCACAGGAACCGGGCAGCGCGCCGAGAATCTCTCTTGATCGCAAGGGGAAGCAGCCCGCAAGGCACACTCATGGCATGGAATCCAGTTTCAACTGGGGGGTTGACACATGATGACTGACGACCATACCCGACCCCCCGATTTTCTGGCAACACAAACTGCTGGCTGTGCCCTTCTCGCGTTACACTGGGGATCTCGTTTTGACATTATTTTACATGTTCAGGTTCACTTCTGAGTCAGGCTCAAACATATTGTTGGTAGGGGCAAAAGCTGAGGTAGTTAGCGGCTTTCCCGGGCTGGTTTTTCAGTGACAGGGCTACGTCCGATTCCGATGTGCGTGAGAGCTCTCCTTTTTTCACGACAAGGGCTGCCTGGCTTGTTCGAACCAACTGGCGACTTCCTGAGTGCGGGGGCCCTTGTTTTTCCGACCCCCAAAGCGTGTTTTTGGGGCCACAAGCAACAGTGTAAGATGGAGGATTCCAACAACCCGCTTGGGGTTCTGGACCAAAAGTCCGGCTGCGAAAGCGCGCCGAATCGGATTCGGCGTGGCGCGATGCGGGCGATGGTTCGGAGGATCCACGTGGTGAGCGACTTTCTGGAGGAGGCCTACATTGAGGTGACCCCAGAACAGCAGAAGAGCAGCAAGGCCCCGATTTCGTTTTTCCCGGGCTCCGAAGGAAGAGGTCTTGCTCATGGCGGAAAAGCCGCGGCCTCTTGGGTACTATATTTTTTAGGGAAGCTCGAAGGACACCAACAAAAAGAGAGGATCCCTTTGAGATTCGCCCGGTGTTGTCGCGGAGTTTGATATAGGAAATCCCTATGGGTGTCAGTTAGGGCTCCCAAAATCCTTCCAAGGCTCCCCAGTTGAGCCACCTCACATCCGAAGACCCCCCCACCCATCCAACGTATTGTGCCATCTGGGTACCCTAGGTGTCTGGGTACCCTAGGTGTCCTTTTGGAAAAGAACACAACGATTCCACTGTAAATGAACAGGTCCAGCAAATGAAACCCTTGGGACTTCACCATTTCCCACCCAATGCATCTAATGAAACTTATGGTGGACACAAACACAATGTGTGCAGTTTTCCACCAAAAGGCCCCTGTCCAATCAAACTGCCCCTTACGACAGCTCTTTTTGGAGTGTTTGGTTTGGGCATTTGTCAGGATCTTTTGTACAAGTGAGCTGGGCGCTGAGGACAAAAAGCCAGTTCCGAGGGCCAGTTTCGACGCGATCCGGACATGAAACTCAAGGCGATCTGGACTTGTGCCTATGCCAACGAGGGTGACACAAACGCTTGAAGGTGGAAATCCTGCAATTCTGATGGTGATGCTTTAGACCTGGGGCTTGCGGATGCTTGTCCAAAGGACTGCTTCCAGGGGCGCAGGGCATAGGGGGCTTCCGGAGGTGCTGAAGCTGTGCTTCTGGGCTGAGGCAAGAGCGTGCAGTTTTGCCGGTGATGGTTCAGCATCCAAATAGGGACGGCTTGGACGGGTTTCCAAGCGCGAAGCACTGGGATAAAGTGAGGATGCATGCTTTGAACTTTACATTACATTTACATACTTACATCAATATGCAGAATTCAAAAGGGCTCCAATCATGATAGTTGGAATCGGACATCAATCAGTTTAGGGGCACCGCTGATAATCATGCTGGTTCGGGTAAACCCGATGTTGCGTCGGGAAATCCTCCTCAAACCACTAGCCCGAAGGGAACAAACACTTTGCAGCCGTGCAGATTAGTAAACATGTACATACCACTTCTTTACAAGGCACGTCAAAATGTCCTCCATTTTTTTAAAATTGCGTAGTGTTTTGGGGTTGGTGGAACCCTCTTCCAGTGTTCATCTTTGAGGGAACAGCAAGATTGGACCCATTCCGTACCCTTCTTGCGGATGGATGATTGGGTCGGCCAAGACAGGTCGACCGGGCGGCCAGCAAAGGGCGGTGCGCAACAACAAATGCAAGCAGTTGGCACCCTTGTACCCACTAACATGAAACCTGACTAGACTTCTTTTCAGTTCCTTTGAGAGCAACCCTTTGATACTTGTTGGATGGCGCCTGCCCTTAGGTTGTGTTTGAGCGAGGCGTTTTTGGGCTTGGCACCTTGCTATTTGGTGCTTGCTACCATGGATCGGTACCCTGGATCCTTGTTGGCCGGCATATGGGAGAGTGCTATTTGGGAGTTGGAATCCGTGGAATCGGCGGCTTTCGATCAATACCAAGACCTCGTTGTTCCTGGAGCATGTAAGCTGGGTCGCAAATCCCGTGATGTTTGAATAGTTGTTGGAGCTCTGAAGAAATGTGTGTCCTATTAATCAACCAGGGGGCTTGTTAATCCGGGGTCAACATCAGCAATCTGGTTGTTGGCAGTTCCCGCCTTCTTTCACCTCCGGCTTCCTTTTGGCATGCCTCGGGGGCCTTTCATGTGTGCGGAAGGGCGATGCGTTGGTTGGAGGGCGCGCAAGTTGCGTTCTTTGCTTGCCATTTGGAGGGGCGTGGTTTTCGTAGAAAACGGGGACTATTGGGCCCATCCGACACATATATATATATATATATATATTATCCAAGTCATGGGACCTTAGCTTGACTCTGAAGCCGTGCCAGGTCCACTACAACTCGCTGGAGGAGCTAAAACGATGAGCTCCGCGGCAGTTGTCGCCTCGGGAAAAAACACCGAGGCTGCGAGCTTTGGCGACCCATCTCTTGAGTGCATTTGGTAACGGATCTTTGGACTTTAACTTGGTAAAACATTTGGGTTTTCTGCTAAACCCACGAACAGATATGTTGTTTTTGCTGTGGTTTCAACCAATGAACAGTTCAGCCACATTCTTTTAGATAGAGGGGTCAACCGCAACCAAGATCTGTAGTCCACTCGAGTTGCTTCCTGCTTCAATGTCTTGTTGCTATCTTCAATAATCGGATAGAATCCTGCGTCAGCGCTTGCCGACATCTCTGCTTTGGCCCCTCGTCACCATGCCGAGGGGGTGCTTGGGAATTCCCGGCAGCCACCTCGCGAATTCGCCAGGTGCAAACGGATGAAGAGGACCTCTCCCGGGGCTACGGCTTCGTGCACTTTGCGGAGAAGGACCTTGGGTTTGCCGGAGACTCGAGAGGTTGGCCCCTTTGATCGGTTTTTTGCGCGATTTTTCTTCTGGTCCGGCTAGTTTTTGGGGAGCAAAATGAGCAAGGGAGGACCATTTGCCCAGTTGCCAACGAGCATAAGCTTTGCTTTGAGTGTGCTTTTTTTGTGTGTGGATGTCACACAAGTTTTCCGGTGGATCCACAAATGCCGCATCCGAACAGTATTCCAGAGACGCGGTTGAAGGTGAAACCATAGCAAAACTGCATGCAGGGTTGGTAGGGACGCCCAACTGTGAAGAGGGCCTTTTAATTTGAGGGCCTGCCAATATGGACAAGAATCGGGTTCAAACATCAAGGTAGTTTGAGGAAGTTTTCAAAGAGATTGAGAATAATAACATCGTTAAGACGACTCCCCAAGTGTGAGTCTGGGGCCAACCAAATTCCCAAAAAAGAGACCCCCTGATGCAGATTTTGGAATACATTGTGACTTTGTTGAGCTTAACAGTTAACATTCTGGCACCTTCCTCTTGGATGGTTTTTAAAAGGATGGACACCGGTCATTTGCAAGTGTACATGTTGCATGTAGAGCCACCAGCCATTGGACATCAGAGCTGTTTGGAAAGGTGAAATCATGGGGAATTACATGCAGGGCTGTAGACGCGTAGCTTTAACATTGTTTCAGCAGCTTCTCTTTTTCTCCGCTTAGGTGGGTGAGGGCCTGGTTGTTTAAACCAATTTTGCCCAACCCGGAGTACAGGGTTTTGCAGTTTATTCGGTTGAGATCTTTGGGCAAGTCCAGCAGTCTCAGCGGAATTGCGCGCCATCGACCATACGCCGCGACACAGTCGACCAGGGATATCCCGTAGGAAGCTACACGGAGTCCGGCTATTGTCCGCAAAGGGGATCAAGAGGCAAACCTTCCCAGCGTGTCATAGATTAGTCTAATTTGATCTTTTTGTTTCCAACTAGCAAGGGCCTGAATGAGCACAAGAAAAGACGGCTGATGCAGTTTGGTTGCTTCGTGTGGATGTCGGGAACCTCAAATACCTGAGATGGAGATGGAATGTAGAGGAGCTGTAAGGGTTTTTAAGAGCAAGCCGTGCCCTCCACTCTCAGGCAATGCTATGTTCTGAAGAGCGAATCGTTATCTTGCATGCAAAAGTCAAATGCCTAACCCACAACATCCTCTTTAACGTTCGGTGTATGGCAGGAATCTCATCGGAAAAATCGAGGCTTTTCGCATTCTGGAGCATTCTCACCCCTCCCCCCACCCCCCACCCGTCAATCCTAGGGCTCACCTTTGCCAGACTCAGTTCTGTCAGAAAGAGTTGGGGGTCTTTGCCCGGTCTGAGTGGCTTGGGGAGCGGCTCCGATGCCACCCGCACGCGCGCTTCCAGGAGTACGCGCTGAAGGTGGCCAATTGCTGCGTCGAGAAGCTTCGTTGAGATGTGTGTTTGGGTCTGGTTGGCTTGGAGAACCACATTCATCTAATTTTTTGGGTATCCCCATTTTTGGCACACTCAGATGGCTGTTTTTTTGCATGGTTGGAACACCCAACATCATTTGCCCGTGATGCCCACCAAAGGGTCCCCAATTAGAACAAATACCCATGTTGGACCCTGATATATACATATATATATATATACACAAAGAACAAGGCTAGGAATCTTGCATCAGGAACGAACTCAATACCCCCCAGTCATTGCCTGGGCTCATTTGTTTGCAAATGCCTCATCAATGCCTTTCAGCCATCTGACAATTTGACAATCGAGCGGCCATTTCCAGAGTCGCAAAGAGCCGCCAGGCTGCAAGACCAACCTTGATCCTTCTACGTGATGATTTGTTTTTGTCGTATTTGTGGTTCCCTAGTGGGGATGATGGATCGAAATGTTGGCCGTCCATTCTGAGCAGCCAGCTGATCTGACCCTTTGCCCGATTTGGCCTCCCACCAACTGTGAAGGGCCTCAACACAGGCGTATCCGCAAGGAAAGCATCCCCCAAGCCGGTACCAACGAAAACCTGACAGCAACCAACCAAATCTGCGCAAGCATCAGCTCTTCGGAGCCGACAAGTTGGCCCTTGCTTTGGAGGATTCACTTGTTTCGGACTCTTCCAGTTTTTGGTTTGATTCCTTTGTCGTTTTGGGATTCTCTTATTTTTGCGTTTTCTGGGGGAATTCTCCTGATTTGTTCTGGACGCGGATGTCACGGGGTGAAAACCGCAACACGCTCCGCGAGGCCACGCTGCTGCTGAATGGCCTGCAGATTGGCAGCAGCTGCGTGCAGGCGAGCCTGGGCTTACGGGGTCAACTTGGGTTAGAGAAGGTTTCACCTTGGTTGGTTCGGAGCGGGAAACCCGAGGACACCCACTGGTCTTGTGGGAAAACCGAAGGAAGGCAGTTCACGAAGCCCCAAAGCAGCCCACGGGGTTGGTTTCAAGAGGGTCCAAATCCCCACTTCGATTTGCTGAAATTATTTGTTTCCCTTGTTGGTTTTACAAGGAATTCATCACGACTGGAGCCTTAACCAAATTGCAGTCTTCCATTTGCTGAATGTGTTTTTCTTTTCCCGTTTTGGTTTGAATCGGAATCTGTCTTTGCTGGACATATTTATATTTTTGTCCAGGGGGCTGAAGCAAATGAAAGTCTTCACTTGGGTGCTTTTTTGAGGGTTCCCTTTTCAGGTTGGTTTGACTGAACACCGAAAGGACACCCACATGGGGGGCGATTTTGACACATACGCATTTGAGAGTGCGACGCTGCGAATGTGCACCTGTATTTTACGCAGTATATAGTGATGCAACTTCGGGCCAAATTATAGGAGCTTATCTCGGGGCACAAGCTCCACTCGGCAGGAGTTGTTATTCATTTTTTGGGAAACACAAACAACACAGAGAGTGCATGTTGCTCATTTTGCGCGCATGACTGGTTCTAAAACCTGCATACCTCTTTGTCCCTTGCCTCGAATGTTTCTTAGGGCCCAGTTTTGGCCGATGTGTTTTTTCAACCCCGAGGCCATCGACCGGGAACCTGCGGCTACAGCTGGTGGTTTCCAGCCTTGTGAAAGCGGGGGACGAGCTTGAGATCATGTTTGGACTTACATTCCTCGGGAAAACCGGGTGTCGCTTGCAGCCAGCTGACAGATCCTGCTGCGTTTCGCCGGATGGGCGATTCTGATAGGCTCCGAAGAGGAAATGGTCGTTCATCGGCAGATGTGCGGGTGTCTTAAAAGTATGCGGAACCCAAGATGTGGTTTGGTTTCTTTCGAAGCACCTTAATTTGGAGGCTTGGCGATGGGACGAATGCCGGGTGAGACCCTTCTTCTCATGATACAAATCAAGTATCCTTTTATCTGGTTTATTACTATCTTGGCCTCTAATACAGTGCACATACAGATTGGATGACACAACAATTCAACCTTGGCCCATTCTTGCTCTCAGAGGTGTTCTCTTTTGTGACCCTCAGGGGTTCCCTGAGACTGGAACAGCTTGTCCAAAGCCTTCGAGCGCCCCAAATGTTTTATCGGATTTCCGGCGAAGTTCACGGTTGTGGTTGTAATGCTCAACAGGAGGGTGAGGGCCAAACCTGCTTTTGTTTTGCAATTTGTGTTGTTCTTGTCTATTTTTTTTGTGTGGTTCTTCTTTTTTTTGTGTGTGGGGCAGGGGGGGAGGGCGGCCTTTTTTTCCCCCGCCAGGTGCGCCCGGCGGCGCCGGGGGATCTGGAGCTCTTCACGGGCTGCCTGGGGGCCGAGTCAATCGGCTCCTTGGGCCGGGCATGGGGGGACTGGCAGAGTTTGGGGCGCAAGGCGTCCGCAAAAGGGGCCCCTCATTCTTTTCTTCTTCTTTTTTTTGGCTGGGTGGCAGTGGCGATGTGAAGTTCATGGGGGTCAAAAAGGCGTGCGGCTCAGATCGTTGCGTGGGACGGATGGGTCTCGGCAATGTTTGTGTGACTTTTTCGCCACGCTGCGACCCTGGGTCGCTTTCACACGACCCAAGTTCCTTTGGAGAGAGGCCCATTTCTTGGGGGGACCGGCGGAAACATGGTAACCAACCAAATATCTAGTGGTCACCCCTTCCCTAGGATCCAGTTTGTAGTTGGATGTCACAAGGAAAGTAGCAAGCAGCCAGCTATTTGGACCGGTCCCCAAAAGCTGACTCAACAGCAAGCTTGGTTCTGGCGCTTGGAAGGACACGCACCATACTGGTTTTTGAGAGGGCTGCCGAAGGGAGCCGAAAGGAATCCCCTCGGCTTCCCTTCAGCGGTCCTCTAATTTAATTTCCCCCTTTTCTAGGGGTACCTTGCATTTGGTTCTTTCCAGGGGTCCGAATCTTTTCAGGAAGCCATCAAAAACCCAGGAGAAAACAGATCCGGTTTTTGAAAAGAACGATGGTTGAAAAGAATGGGGGGAATCAACCCCTAGATTTTTGGAGAGATCCAAAGGCATGGCCGCCATTTTTGGGTCCCTCTGGCAAACATCCTATAGGATTTCAATGGTTTCTTTCCCTGGTGCGATAGGCAGGGAATGAGATTGGAATGACCCCGAAATAAACCTTCCCCTATGGTTTCCTTTGTGGCGAGCTTCCATTTGCTTGAGAACATGTGCTTTTTGTTTTTCCTGTTGGTTGTAAAGGGAATCTATCTCTGTTGGACGTATTTCTATTTTTTCCAGGGGGCGAAGAAGCAACCAGGCGAAACCCTGGAACTCACGCCCTGGCCGCCCCGGACCTCCGAGGCATCTACTCTCTTGCCACCGCCGTCCGCGCGGTCTACCAGCCGCCGGCGGCCCCAAGAGAAAGCCGGTCTTGGAAGCCAAAGGAGCAGCATTTTGAAGGTTCCCCATGAGACGCACCCAAATGTCATTGATCTGGATGGCCTAGCAAAACTAGGTCCCCCAGTTCTGCCCTTTTACCCTTTTGTGTGGGAGGGTTTTTGTACTAAACTAGACTACAGAAAAAAGAGTACCCTTATTCTAACCCCTCTACTGGAGGACCTAGAAAAGGTGCATGCTTGACGGCACGTTTGCTAGCCAGGAGTCGGACTGATGTTTTTGCGAGACCCTGCCAGGCCACGTTCATTTCTCGAGATCGGGGCGCAATGTCTGCTTTGCCTTGCGGCAAGGGCTCCCTTTCCAAATGGGTAGGGTTACGCAGGTTTTAGTCCACTTTTCCATTTACCAGCTCCATTTTGGGCCCCTGTTTTTTTACCCACACCGAAATGTGCATTTCCAGATTTTACCACTTAAAACAACAGTTGTTCTTCTTTTTTGCCGCCAGGTCAAGGCTTTACACTCGCTTTGTTTGGAGGGATTGACAGTTCGAAGGGTTTGGTTACAGGAAAATCTACAGGACATGGCCCCAAAACACCCTAAATCAGCTGTTTTCCTGCAGAATGTCCTGTAACCCAACCCTTTGAACCATGTTAGCGGTCCATAGTTCCTTTGGACATGAGCATGGCACCCCATGGGAGCTGCACCATGCTGTTCAGGAAGGATCCGAAAATGGACCCCCCAAAACCCTCTCTGGAATTGCCGGGGTCCCGATCTTTTTTCTTTTGGCCGGCTTGAACATCAGCTGTTGGTGGTCGTTTCTTAGCTCTGATGCGGGAGACTGCGAAGGTGTCCTTTTTGGGTGAGCCTGGTAAAAAATAGATGGCACCGGCTTAGATTTTTGTTGCTTCCATTTCCCAGGGGAACCCATCTATTTTTCCCAAAGGCCATGGCTGAATGGGCTTTCCACCGGCTGAGGCCGGCTGACTGGATGTCTCCCAACTTGGAGGCCTACGGTGCGGGTCCCGGCCCCAGGAAAACGAAGCCGGGCCGGTAGGGCAGGGCTGATGGAGGCTGGAGCACAACACCAAGAATCCATTGGTGCACAGAGACTGTTTTCCAGGTTGGTCTTGTTTTCTGAGGAATGGCGCACTTCGATGTTTCTGGTGGGTTGTTTCTCAGGTGTCCTTTTGGCGAGTTGTGACCTTTGGGCGAATTGCCGGTGGTGGCCATGAGATTTCCCGTGTGGTCTGGTGATCTTAGGGCTGCCTTCCAACATGGCAGGCTTCGAGTCGATGTCTTCGGGTAGGTCGTCTCGGGCCCAGCAGGGCAACACGGCGTTCTTTGGAAGAAAGGACGGCATTTTTGGGGAAACAGGCGCAATCCTGTGGAATCCACAAAATTTCATTCCCAAAGTGAAGCAACTCAAGGGCCTAAGGGCATAAAGCTGACCTAGAGGAGTTGCATTCGATTTGCATTTCCTGCCCGAAAACAGGGGACTCCTATGGGCACGTCCCCAAATTTTGGCTGCCCTCACAACCCAGCAGCCAGCAGCCTGTTGCAAAAAAAAGGAAAGAAGTGCACCACACATTGCGGCCGCACATCGCGGACGAAATCAAGATCAACAACAGAAGCCAACAGTCACCAATACCCAGCTCCCTGTATGCATATATATATATATATTGATGGCTTCTGCACCTAAAACCTATTTTTACCCCAATCAAAGGGTCCCTTTTTCCATAGGGTCGCTGAACAACTGAGCAACTTATGTTGGCAATGCAAGGGCAGATGTCTGAATCCTTGCGGGCAGCTTCCTTTCTGAGGGCGCATGGCTATCGCTCCGTTTTCTGGAGATTCCACAAACGACGCACACCTTATCGAACGCTGAGTTGGAGCTGCTCGCGCTGGCACCTCTCAACATGGGTTTGGTTAAACATTGCAACAATCCCGCGTGGTTTTTCCAAACAAGGGAAACTAGCAAACGCAACCTTGGTCTGAGCCGCATGCCACAAGCTTACCGACTCCATTTTGTGGATCCATGATGAGGAATGATCCTCATGAACTGTCCCTGTGGCCTCCGTTCACACGCGTGTTTTTTCTTCTTCCTGAAAACCAACCAGAAAAACGCGGGAAGGAATCGGAGAACCGGATGCCAAAGAATGATTGCCGGTTCCCCCTTGACTTCCCTTTAACCCACGCCCAAAAACGGGAACCCACCAGCAAGTGAGCAAGTGTTGGGACTCGTGACTGACGTTGCCAGTTTCAGCCAGCAGGTGTCCAAAAAATAGGCACGGAAAGCACCCGTTTCCGGGCGTTGAGATGGAGCAAGTAACCCGGTCTTTGCCGTTCGCCCTTAACGATTTCCGAGAAGCTCAATTTTCTATCCCCAAAATATTCATGGGAAACACAGGGGAATCCGTTTGGGCTCCTTGCCCGTTCCTTGTGGGAAACCTCTTTTGGAGTTCCTTCGGGGATAGCTTGGGGACTCCGACCACTTTCAGGTAGTCCCAATCAAAATTCCTTTCTAGGGGTACCTTGCATTTCCATTCTTTCCAGGGATCCTTCTTTGCAGGAAACCATCAAAAACCCAGGGGAAACAGCCGGTTTTTGAAAAGAACGAGGGTTGAAAAGAATGGGGGGAATCAACCCCTAGATCCTTGTCACCTCGGTCAACAGTTCTTTTGGGATGGCCAGAAGTCGGATGCTCGTTCCGCAGGTTGGGAGGATGAGCGCTGGGAGAAGTGAGTGGGTGCAGCTTCAGCCGGGCTCTCCTCAAAAAAATATGGGTGTTTTGGACCTAGAATGCGGAAATACCCACCCCCCCAAAAAGCATGTTCCATGGTTGCGACTTATCTACTAATCACTTGGACACAAAATGTGGAAACGCACCCCAAGAAAGAATTTTGGGTAGAATTCTGATGGTTGAGACTTATTTAATCACTCGGTTTCTTCCCACAAGGCTTTTTTTCACCAACACCAAAAAACCTCAGGATCCGCCTGCCATGGGGGGGTCACGGGCCTGGTAGATGCCTCTGGCACTGGCCTGCCTCGCGGAAGGAAAGTTGTTCTGTGCCCTGACCCCATGTGAGCCACTCAAAACCGATTCGGGTAGATGAAGGTTAGTAAGGGACAAACCCATAAATAGCTGCGGCCGCCTTCTTAATTCTTGAAGCATGGTTCTGGGTAGACCATTTGATTACCGGGTTTTGAGTAGGACTCATGTGTTCCAACAGAAAGGGCATACCAAACGAACATGGCACGGACATACATTCACATCGGGTGTGTTTGTTTTTAGTAGGTCCGGAGCCCTTGGGTTTTCCGCAGGTTTGGCGCTTGCGACGCGTTTCCGGTCAGAAAAGCGCTGGCCGCCGTTTGTGTTGACCCTTGCCCAATTGAGACTGATCCCAAGTTATTGTCCGATTTGTGGGTAGATGGGAACATTTGTTCCTCGTGGTCAAAACAAGGTAGCAATACAACTGAGATACCTGAAACAGGTAAGTAGAACACATGTTTTTCCACAAGCAAAAACACACACAGTGCTAACCCTTTGCCGCCCTTCCCGCGTCTGGACAACTACAGTCCGACAGTCAAGTGGCCAGCTCTCTTGCGGGCCTGAACTGCGGGCATAAACAGATGCCAGCGGCCGTGAGTTCTACGCCCATGGGTGATGTCTATGTCAAGGGTTTGGCAGACCGGCGCACGGGTACTTGAAGACGGCTGAGGCCGCCGCCTTGATGGAAGAACACGCCAGGGGGTGGTGCCATACAAGATGAGTCAGAAAGCATCCTGCGCGCTTTCCAGTTGAGGTGCTTGAAGGTGCGGCTGGGCCCGTGAGCGGAAGCACGGCGTACACGCTGGTGGGCATTCCTCCGGTGCTAAACCGCAGTTGCAGCAAGTTGTGAATCTGCCGTCGCCGGCGAGCTCCTCCCTAGCCGGGTGGTCAGTGCCCGGCCTGCAGGCCTTCCAGCAGCACAAGATAAGGGGGAAAGCTGGTTTCTTAAGTGTGTGTTGATTGTGTCTTACTTACCTTGCTTTCCCTTTGTTTGCAGTGACAATATTGTTTTCAGTCGCCTTGCCTGCTAGACAGCCGTTGTGCCCCAGGGTCCCTTCCTTCCCATGCAGGCCTCTTTTGGATGAACGCCATGCCCTGCTTATGATCAATATGTGCCTCGGTCAACACTAACATCCATGGTAGAGGTCAAGGGCAGCCAGCTACACCGGCTTTCCTGGCGTATTAGGGCGTCACCAAAGCTAGTTGGTGAGATTGTTTCTTCCTCATGGCAGCCTCTAATTTCCAGGGCTGTCAGGTAGTTTCCCGTTTTCGTTGAAGTATGTTTGAGTCCAACAAAGCGTGACAAATCGGATTTGGGAGCAGCTAATCAAGCAGCAACCATATTTTTTTCTCCACTGCCTCCTTTTTCAAACCCCAAAGCAGCAGAGTCGGGCGCATGCCCGCTGGCATTGGGACCAACATCCCTTCGGTTCGTTTTGGGGAAGCTGTCCAGTGGATCTCGGGTACTCTCACTCATCTCAAAACCCGACGTCGGCGAACTTTTGGGCTCAGAGCGCTCTCATTCCAATCCTTTTTTCGCGCGGCCAGCTGAATAGCGCCTCGGCCGTCGAGTCGTTTGGTCGTGGGTCATAGGAGCATCAGGCCGTTGAGTCATTGAGTCGTCGGGCGTTTGGCCCGCGGTTCGCTTTAGGAATGCATCATGTGCTTATCCCCAAAGCGAAGGATCCTCGTTAAAATGGAATGCCCCCTCTATTCAGCAAGGGGGCAAGGGGTTTTCTCAATTATGCACCTTGGAATGGGATGCTTTCTGCCGGACCAGCTTTGCTCTTTGGTTGCAATGACAGGGCAAGATGTATAATGGTCCCTGGCCCGAGTGGTTTTGGTGCCTAGGTTGAAATTGCCAGAAAACGGTGACTATCCCCCCACACTCAGGCTAGCAGAGACATGATTGGGTTCAATTGTGCGGGTTTTTGTTTGGGGCCCAGCAAAGGGTCCCCAATTGAAGCTAACTACCAATCGGGCTCCAAATCCCCAGATTTCGCGAAGCTCTGCACACGGAAACTGAAATCAAACCTACCGCCGCAAGGTAAGTTCAGCAGCCCGTCTTGGGGCGGCCCGACTCTATGACCGGTTTCAAGTAATCGACGACTCTTGGTTGGCCTTTAACACCAAAAAGGGGCGCCCTCAAACAAAGGACAGCCCCATTTACACTTGCAACTAACTCAACTCACCAAGTTTAGGAACTTTGGGCCATTTTTCACGAGGATTAGAGGATTAGAGGTGCCTCAAAAAGGCGCCAGCCACAGCTCAAGCTGGCTCCTTTGTGAACCAGACCGACCGGTCAAGGGGCCCCAGGCGAGAAGTTCAATACTTGCTGGTGCTCAGTAGCGAACGACCGTTCCGGGTGTTGGGAATGAACCTAGGGATTTCCTTGAGGGAAGTCATCGGGGATGGATTATAGGTATCATTCCCTCATTCCCGCTGAGAACCAGCAAGAATAGAGACTGTATAGTTGACAATAGTATTGGCTTCTACAGTCGTGACCAAAATTGGCTTTCAAGCCTCTCTCATTATGAGGGGTGAGGGGACTTGTAAAGCATGTCTGGGCAGAGCGTGATGGGTTCACTTTGATCGAACAAAAAGTCCTGGGTGCAATTCCCGGTTTTTCTTCATGCACCACCAAAGAAGGCTAAAGCTATTTTGGACCCTTGCGGGAGCCAGCACCTTGGCTGAAGCAGGGTAAGCGAACTAGAACCGCCTTCGACGCCCATCAGACAATCCCAGATTTGTTTTTTCCATTTTTTTTCTTCCCGCCTTAGAAGAGCCATTTGCGGTTGAATGGCCATCAGAAGGGCGCACATGGTTTAATCTTCCTTTTCCTGGACAGGTGGGTTTCTGTGAAACGTTTTTTCCGGGCCCGGGACCAGTCCAAAACCTCGTGGTGGTTCAGGCTGAAGCCGCGGAGATCTCAGCACCTTGGCTCTGGGAGAGATGAGATCCCCTGAAGTCAGCCGCAACCATCCAAGTTGTGCTTTGCTCTTGGG